CAACTGTTGGAAGGGTGGTGTTAGCTGGAGCAGGAGGCAGCTGAGAAAACTGTACAGGAAAATACCAAGAAATACAGCTTTTGAGGGAAATGTAGACTTAACCTTTGAGTGTTCTAATGAAACAAGATATTAATCAAGCAGCATGGGAGGATGTCTTGAGGCTTTTATTACAGAAATGTCTACCAAAGTTATGTTCCAATATATTATACTGTAGCAGTATCAAACTGTCTTCAACTAAATCTCAGACTGTTGATCAAACAGTGGACTCATAAAAAGTTGTTTCTTAAAGACAACACTGACGCTAACACGCAATTTATACTTCTGCGTGGAATCGACGCCGTAACTACAGCGTAGGCTCCATGTAAACGTAGAGCCTATGTCGTAACCTATGCCGTAGCCTGTCGTGCACCTTCCCAGAATTGTAACTATGCATCGCAGTGACGTAGACCTCCTCTCTGTTTCTGTATACTGACACCATTATACTCAGTGGAAACGAAGCTTTTATTTACTTTTAGTTCACAGATAAGAAACAATAAATTGTGTAGACAGTAAAGCCTCCACTAAAATAGCATTTTAAGTCTTGTGTATGATTTATCCTTCAGGGATTTATACTTCGGGTGAGTGTGTTCTTGACTGTTTTTGCCTTCTGACCACCCTTTATGCCTGTCGAATTGGATACCTTTGCCTGTGTTACTGATCATCTGTGTACCAACCTGAGCCCGATTAAAGACTCTGAACTTTTATCTGTGAGTCTGCTTTGTGAGTCCTTCTCCAGTTTGTGCTTGACACTAACAATGTGGGAAGTATGTGTAAATGAACTATGGTTAACTTCCCTCTAAATAAAAAAATTGTTGGATGACACCTTTTGCATCATCCGGTGGAGTTATGCTGGCCCTCAAACTGTTGCTGAAGCTACAGGCTGTACTTACTTACATATTTTCGTATTGCCCAATACCCATGTCGCCACCATAATAATAATAATACATTTTATTTCTGGGCGCCATTGACATAAAGAGTATAGAGTAGATCAAGAGACAGACCCACTGCCTGCTATCTATGTCTCAAGGTCAGACTAAACTTTGACCAAACTCTAAAACTAGGAAGGGCTGATCATACTGTATAAATCAAAATAATGTTACTGCCTGCCTATATCTTGGCTAAAATGTTTGCAGAAACATACTTTAGTTCAGTGTTTTGCTGTAATATTGAGAGTTTATGAGCAGGATGTGGGTGCCATACTTTTTCTTGCACAGTAAAATACATAGGCTCAAACGGTTAAACTAAGCAAATATATGATCAAATATAAACCAAGACTCTGTTACTGCGTTGCGTCAATCTTGCCTCAAATGTTTTCAGGAACAAGTTTGAGCTCACTGTTTTACAGTAATACAAAATCATTTAGTTACAGCTGGCCGCCTTTATGTCAAACGGAAGAGTTTATATTACATCTCCCACCGGCAGGGGTGTTTATTGGTCCAGTGCAGCACAGTGCATTCTGGTAGTTGTAGGTTTTAGGAAAAATGAATTACACAGTTCTTCTTCTCTGCTTTTTTTCTGATTCTGTAGCACCAATGTCAAAAGTATTTGCATCTTTCTACTGAATAGACATCCAAGTTCTATGAAAAGACTGTCTGAATTGCATTGACATCTATATAATCTTCAGCTTTCTATCCCCCCAAAAAGTGTTTCAGCCTTGACATTTTGCAAAGTAACTGTATACCATTGTTTAGGCCTTTAAGTATCATAGTTCATTCTCTTTTAAAATTACAGGCTAAAGGCTTCTAAGAGACAATGTTTTATATGTTTTTTAAATTTATAATTTATGTTTAAAAAAAAAGCTAATTTTGGTATGTTAAGTCAGTCTGACCTGCTGCATTGTGAGAACAAGAAAGAGAAAATACTAAAACTGCCTCAGTTCTGCAGAAACCAACACTTCCCTCCTAAGCAACATGGTTACTGCAACAAGTGTGATAAGTGAAAATGAGGGAGTAAGACAGATTTCCTGCAGAGCTCAAGGGAGTTGTTTTTGATTCTTCAGTCAAGCCACTTCATTGACTACGCCCTCGCAAAGTTTCCCATGTGCAGACTGAGGTCAAACTGCAAGATATGGAGAAGAGATATCCCACACATTTGTAGAGAACAGAAACCTTGAGGTGTTTTCGTTTAAATAAAGGGTTGCAACTCCAGCCAACTTTGAGTCATTCATTCTCGTTAGCTTGATTTTCTCTGACACACACTCACTCTTCTTTCATTTCAGATCTCTGAGTCCCAAGGGCATAGTTTCATTTGAAAATTGGTAGGGACACACATAGGGTCTCATTCATGAAACGTGAGCAGAACAAATTTGCGTGTAAACTGTTCACAGAGGGAAATTTACATGTATTTCGGCATTCATCAATATGTTATGCTTTTCTTAGGTACTAACAAAATCTACACAAGCACCTGTTACCTCCTTCCAGGCCTTTGGTTCACCTGTCCCTGTCACACCACAACTAATAGAAGAAAATTAAATGTTTTTCTCAACCCCACTTCACCTAAAATAACTTCAGTCTCTGAGTCAGAAAAGTTTTTCTCTCTCTCTCTTACTTTGCTTGCTCCATGTTTGCAGGTCCACAGGATGCACCGCTCCATAGTAATGATCTACTCCTTATATAATACATTTTTTACATTTTTTATATGGTGGTCTCTGGCTATTAATGGGTGGGATGTGCGCTGTCAATATACAGTTGATTGGCATTCATAAACATACACACGTGCCACGATCATATCTGAGTTTTCCACTGCATTCATAAATCCAGAGTAGGTTTTTAGTACCAAGGTTTTTTATGTACAGATCTACTCACAGATTTACTAACATTTCATGAATGAGACCCATTAATTGGGGGGTCTGAAGGTCATCCCCCAGAAAATTTTGAGCATTAAACACTTCATTTCCTGCATTCGTGAAGATTTAAGCACCCATTTATGGGGGAAATGTCTTTATTTATGTAAACACAAAATTTAGGCACCATGGTAGGGGTAAAGTAAAATCTGAGATTTACATCTAAACATATTATACATGTTAGAAAACACTTGTTGAAAACACCCGAAAAGACTGGGAACTATATAGTACTAACATGTGGTGTAACTCCACATTTGAGTAGTAGCTCAGACCAGGGTCCAACAACAACACAGCTGTGCTCCATTAACTCTAATGCAATCGTTTCAGATCTCCTTCATTTTCAGGTTGGTTTTGTGGATTTGGAGATAAATGTTGTGCCTGAAACCTTGGGGCAAGTGATACTTGTTACTTGGAGAGGTTGGAAAAAGGTACACATTTCCTCCCTGCTCCAAAACCAAAATCGAACCCGTTAGCTGGCCAGCTACTGAAGATACACAGGCTGCTTTTGCTTTTTAATGATCATAACAAAAAAAAAAAAAAAAAACCTACCCTACCCTGCTGTACAGGAACCAGTGAAGGGAAGCAGGGAAACTTTGCTGATATTCAACCAGCTGTGTCATCACATTGTACGCAGATGAAAATTGTCCGGGTGCTGGCAGTGGCACAGGGGCGAAGCCAAACACTGTTCATCTGCACACACTGTGATGCCACACAGCTGGTTCAATATCCATGAAGTTTCCCTTTATATTCATTGTCTTCTGTTGCGATGTGATGGTTCACTTTTACACTGGGATCTGTAGCCTGTAGTTCGGCTTTAGCTTCTAACTATCTTTGTCTTTTTAACCTGTTTTTGCTGCTCAGTCAGTTTGACATCCTGGATATATTCTTCAAGCACATTTTGTAGACCCCTCTGTCTGTTTCTCTCTGGAATTACTGTTTCATTTTTCCAAAAATATAATAATATTTCTTCGGGGAGTGCAGTTAGTTACAGTGTGGGCTCCATGGTTACTCCACAGGTTGTTGGACCATCACAAAGGGGCGGAGCTTAGTGAAATGTCAACACTATCTATTTTTTCATGATTTTGAAATGTAATTTTATGCACTTGGCAATTTTTTGATTAATCAAATTTGGCTGGGTGCTTGATAACACATTTGTCTGTGGTGTGACAAACTAATTACACATATTTATTTTTGCTTTACCCAGACTTTAAAAATGGAATATAATGCAGTCAGGCTTTCAGATATTCTGTATTGGCTTTACATTTTTATTTTCCTGTAGAGCAGCTTTTCTCATTTTATGTTATCTCTGCTGAGTCAACACACACATATAGGCATTATTTACTTTTACCTCCTCTTTTGTGTCTTTTGCTTGGGGAAGTAACCTCTTTAAATGCACACATAGTACCTATTCACATCACATAATTCATAAACCCCGAGCAAGATTTCTGCTCATGTTCAAAACTGTCTGCACATTCAGAACATATCCCACACATCTGTGATGTCTCCATCTAGTCATCAGCTGAGCACAACAAGATATCAACAAGCTTTTGGTAACTTTTGATAAGCTTGGTCTAATAATGATCCAGAGAAAATCTGGGACAAATCTGAGCAATAGTTGGAGATGCATCAAAACTGTGTTTTTCCAAAAAATACTAAATGGCGGACAATCTAGTCAGCAGACTGGTTCTTTAGGCTTTTTTGTAGAGCTGAAACTGAATTTTTGGTCCTTGATTTCAGCACCATCATCAGGTTGATCTGCATTATATTTCTTGAGCAGCATTTGCACACAACTTCCAATCACTGGTGAAAATTTCACATGTCAGTGATGTACCATCTCACAGGAATTCACAAAAACATTTCTGAAAAAGAAGAATAAATCAGGTCTTTTTTGACATGATCAGCCTGAAGGGGAAACATCTGGTTATGAAACACCGGCAGGCTCCTATAACAGCAGATTTCCAAGACATGATGGCAAATTCCCACATCATCTCACACATGTTTGTGTGATAATAAAATAGGGGTGGATGGGCTGAAATCCTGTGGAAGTGTGTGTGAAGGAGTGATAGAGAGACAGAGGAACTGTGTATCAATAAATGTGTGTGCCTGTGTGATTGTGTACATGAAGCATGAGGGCGCGACTGACTCTGGGCTGTGTGAAGCTCTCCATTAGTTTGGTATCAGGTGGGTGCTGATGCTTACTGGGTGAGTACAGGAAGGCATGGGTCAGGTTCCTTGCAGTGTTGTACTGGTCACATCTGGGACTCTGGGATGCTGGGAGTCTGATATCAGCCCTCAAACAGTTTGGCGTCGCCGGTGGCAGTGGGTCCAAGTTCATCTAGAAGAATGGAAAAACCTAAGCTTTAGTTTAAATACAGTAATCAGCTTCAGATGTTATTAGACGCCCTTAAACTCAATACCATTAAAACAACATATTTTTATTAATAAATAATATTTTAAATTTAAATTTAAATTTAATAAATTTTGTTTGTATATGCTTCAGTTTTGAGATAAAGTAACTCTGACCAAACTGTGGGGCAGCTGTGGTCTTTGGATTGTAAACTGTGGTCTTTGGATTGTAAACTGTTTTACTGGAAATAACTTTTATCAGAGAAGTCATCATTGAAAACTGTATGAAACAAAATCTATCTGCGTAACATTAATCCAGTTTTGAGATAAAGTAACTCTGGTTAAACTGTGGGGCAGCTGTGGTCTTTGGATTGTAAACTGTTTCACTGGAAATAGCTTTTATCAGAGAAGTCATCATTGAAAACTGTATGAAACAAAATCTATCTGCGTAACATTAATCCACTACAGATTAGAATTTACTATAAACTGCACATTTAAACAGCTCACAAGTAAAAAAAAATTACCCTGGGATCTATGTAAATGAATCAGCAGGCGATTTCCTTCTCTTTCAGCAAAATGATTGAGGTTTTTTCCCACCTGGACCTTTATGCTCTGCCATTTCTCCTCTCATCATTATGCTGTAACCTGTGACAGACTGTTACGCTACCATAACTGCCTCACATTCACATATATGTAGTTTTTTTGTCAAGCTGCAATACCAAAAGTACATTACAAAATGTTTATGACAAATCACTTGACAACACCAACTTCTGTGTGAGCGCGGTGAGATAGGAGAGGGAGAAATGCTGTGCTGCTGCCAGAGGAGCCACTGAATGAGTTCTCTCTGCAGAGAAGGCAACTCATGGTAAGTTGCTTAAGAGTCTGAGAAGTCCGGCGCTGTTCAAAAAACATTGAGGACACCCAGGCCTAACGACACCACAGTTTATTCCACTCCACTGAAGCTGCTCCTGTTTTTGGAACCACCACAGAGTCGCCATGCTTGTTGCTGTTGGTAAGTATGACATCATATGTCAACAAATCGAAATATTGTGTGCATCAAGATATGATTTTTTCATATGATATTAAAACACCGGTATTATCATGAACGAGATGATATGGCACACTCCTTGCCAGAACTCTTGAATTCATTGTGCAACTGCAACCAAATTTAGATTATATATGCAAACATACATGAGCGCACCTGCAAAATGTTATGGTTCATGTACCAATAGGTGGCGTTATACTAACAGCCTGAAATTAAACTGCTATGAATCAGTGATCAGAAATTGGAACTTGAAATTTTGCACAAGTCATCCTTGAAAAAAACCCAATTATATATTACCGTGTGTCTTTTTGGTTTTAGTATTAAAATCATGCATAATTATTATTTGTTTTTTCACCATTGACAAACTTACAGGCTTATCAATAGTGAAGGAGCTCCACAGAGGCATCAGGGCATCGTGGCTGTAGGCGCTGATGAAGCCCTCCTGATGTAGGATACAGTAACTCAGGTCAGGCTGCAGCATTCGTGGGCGGCCAAACAGCATGTGCTTCTTGTCTGCTGTGGACACTGAAAGATCAAAAGTTCAGTCGGTGGAATTTTGACAATGCTAGGGATCAGCAGGGATACCCTAGTGTAAAATGAGCCTTAACTGCAAACAGTGATTAAATGGCAATCAGTAAGTATTCACCAACATAGATTGATTAGGTATGGAATATATGTTGAATCAGCGTACTCATTTACACATCTAGCCATGTATTGTACTCATCCACACATACATCTGGTCATGTATTGCATGAAAGCCACTGAGATTAAAAGTTTTTAAAAAATTAGGTAAGACTTTGCTCGGACATAATGGTGGGGAAATTTGAGTCCAGGCTGGCACCGCACGGTCATACCCAGGTGGCTCGAGAGATTACTCATCAATGGTGAGATCATGTCCAAATGTGCCAAAAGAGTACACCATTATGTTCTGGCTCATGTGGGAAGGATTAAGGAAAAAAGGTGGAGATTCAGTAGAACCTCCACCTGCGTAAAAGGGAGAGCGCAGAGAGTGAATCTTCAGTCTTGTTCCGGAGCTTGACTCATGAATTGTATGTGTTGCTGCTTGTGAACACATTAAACTCGGTTGCACCTGATTCTAAGTGTCTTCAGTGATTTTCTGAGTACTATCCTTTTGATTCTAAGATATTTTTTGAGTAAAGGCCAGTCCAATCAAAGGCGTTGAAGCCAAGGTCTGGAGCCATCTCACCCAGCTTCAGACACTGATTTTTGCTTCATCAATACGAATGCAAGTATCAAGAAGTCAATTCAGTAATGTGGAGAAATTTGTAAAAGGACACACATATGAGACAGAACAGTGCAAGCAGTTTCTTTAAAGTGCATTCAGTTTTGATATTAAATGTAAAAATTTAAAAAAAAAAATAATGGCAAGATTTTAAGGAACTGACCTAGAGTCCAAAAATCAATAAAATAAAAACTCAAATTTAAGGTACAGACTTTGTTTAAAGGCCTGTGAGCCTGCTCACCTTCTGCTGCTGTCAGATTCAGACGGCTGTTGACAGTATTATCACTCTAAAAACAGAGAACAAGAAAACAAACCAAAACATAAAATGTTAAATAAGTGGTTAATGTTTTTTTTGTTTTTTGTTCTAGCATAGTACACATTTACATATTTAAATGTGGTAAAATACATTTCAGTATAGGTGTAGATTTTTGGGGGACACAGGTGACATGTCCCCCTCAATACTTTCAGCATGTGATAAAAACATGTAAGACGAAGGGAAGTTTTATTTTGACAGAATAAAAAACCATCAACTGATGCAGAAAAGGCATAAACTGATGCAAAAACATTCACCATAATACAGAAAATTAAATGTTTGGAAGCTATGTCTCTGAGACAGGGCTGTCGCAACCGGACAGGCAAACTAGGCAATTGCCTAGGGCCCCGAGCTGGAAGGGGGCCCCCAGAGACGGCTGACATTGGTCCATATCAATGACAATATGATGGAATCCCTTTAGACACTGCAACAACGACAACATGTTGTAATCTCCCCTAATGGGGCCCCCTACTAGCTGCTGCTTGCGAGTGGCTAAGTAGGGTGACCAGACGTCCCGCATTGTACGGGACTGCACAGCATTTCTGTCTCTTTTCACTCATGTCCCGCATGATTGGTTGCCATCTGCGCTAGCATTGTTGGAGTACCGTAGTACTACGGTACCTCACAGTACCACTATTGTGGGATAAGTTCAAAGTCCAATCGCAAGAGGGTGAGTGTCCATGCGCCGTCCCAGAAGTACCTGAACAGCCGAGCCGCCAGACAAATCAAAAAATGAATAAAGGCGTTTCTATGATGAGGCGATTTGAAGATGGCAGACGCTGTGCGCTGAGATTTACAAGACAAACGATGGTAAAGTGATTGTTGAAGATAAACTGCTCAACTTTCTTACTATGAAAATTAGGACAATGAGTCAAGATGAGATCGTGATGCTGGCAGCAAACGCCTTTGACTCTGAATGGATTGAAGCATCTAAGAAAGATTTGTTTGAGCTGTGCCCCACTACGCAGCGCAGTGTGTCACACAAAGGGCCACAGAAGGATGCTTACAGCATCAAGAGCTGCCTGAAAGTGATGAACGAGTGTGGTGAGAATATGCCAAGATTTGTTTTGCAGTACTTGGATGAGCTACAGTACCACCCGTCACGTTCACAAGCATGGATGTCTCAAGCCTGCTGGCGAAATTGGAGCACTTGCAAGCGGATGTTTGCTCCATGAAATGCACCATGCAGCTTCAGGCTAATGCTCATGAAGACATGAGAACTATTATTGAGTGATGTGTGACTGCGCTGTAAGCTTCAGCTGACCAGGCGCTAGGGGATGGCCGGGCTGTCAGTGGGGAGGTGCCATGGGATTGGTTGCCGGGAGTGAGGCGCCGGCGGCGACACCCGACGCCGCGTGTGGTGAGCTTGCTGGAGGTCCTGGAGGATTGGTCTCAGAAACCCGCTCTCCTACGTGGAGTCACATTGTAAGAAAAAGACAGTGTCCTGAAACTACGCTGATAACCCAGCCCAAGAAACTGCCCGCTCCTCTGAAAAAGAGGAACGGCATCTCCGTTGTCGGGACTGGAGCTGGTAACATCAGCACAGTAAGGACCAAACTAGTGAATGTGTTTGCCACCAGATTTGACCCAGACCTACATGCAGAGACTTTATCTGTTTATCTTAAGGTGAAACTAGGGCGTGAATGGAATTGTCTAAAGATTGGCACTGAAAACCGTAGATTCAGCTCATTCAGAGTTTCTGCTGAATGTAAGGAGGTAAATGAAATGTATAACCCAGATTTGTGGCCTGATGGAGCATTAGTTTGTCGGTATTATGAGCCGCATAAGATGCCCATAGCTGGTCTGGTCAAAATACTTCTGATGCAGCTAAGGGTCTGGGTCTGCCTACAGTTTTTTTAACAGGTTCCTAAAACCATAAACAATGACTGTTCAGGTTCTGTGTCTTATACTGTGTCTTCAGGAGACATTTTTGTCAAAACAGGACCTCGGACAGTTGAGCTCCTTAAATCCTGACTTCCATGGAGCTGGGGAGTCTACAACTGACCTCAGCACAGGAATATTCAGGGGCAGGGTACCCGTGGGTGTAGCTATTCTCTGGCAGAAACAGCTACATCTGCTGATAAATGTGATCAGAGTTGGTGTCAATTGGTGCATTGCAATACGGTACACACAGAATAATAGAGAATTTGTGAACTTGAATGTATACATACCCTATGAGTGTAATCAGAATGAGGATGATTATTTGAATAAGCAGGCTTTTAGTCATTCTTTTAAACAAGATAACTCCAACACCAGTGTGTATGTCATAGGGGACATAAATGCAGTTATCACAGATAGATCAATATTTGCTAATCACTTGAGAAAGTTTTGTGAGAACAGTAATTTAATCCTCTCCAGCAATCTACTACTGCCTGCTGATAGTTATACTTCCATCATGAAAAAAAATGACAGATGAAGATATCTATAGGCAGTGCTGCAGGCTGTATGTGCAGGCAAATACTCTTGCTCGCAAGTTTCAATCATGTTCAGATACTGTGAAGGTGGCTCTGTTCAAAGCATACTGTACATCCTTTTACACAGCTCATTTGTGGACAAATTATAAGAAAGCAAGTATGCAGAAACTACGAGTAGCATGATGCTCTGCGAATTCTGTTGAGGAGACCTAGATGGCTCAGTGCAAGCGAATTGTTTATAAATGTACGTGTCAATACTCTCCAAGCTGTCTTGAGAAACTTGATGTATAGATTTATATGTCGACTTGGTGCTTTGAGAATGAAATTATATATAACTTTATTTCAGACACAAGATAGGTCCATAGATTAAAAAAAAAAAATATGAAAAAAGTACAATACAATAAATAACATTTTCAGTATGACGAATATCAAGTACAGCTCTGTCAGATACCAGTCATGCTGCTGGAGACAGTATAAATGCCTCTTTTTAGAACTATAAAGTTTGTCATGGATATTAATTTATGCACTTTTAGCACATGTATTGTTTGGTGTTTTTTAAATATGTGTTATCTGTCTTTGTATTGTGTGTCTTGAATATGGACTTGAGTCTGTAATAAAGTTTAACATAACATATGATTTAGAGATTTGTAAGCCTGTGCATTAAGTGCCTTTATCAATTAGATTAAAAATATTACAAAAAACAACTGCTGACCTGCAGAAAATAGTGTGTCCTTTATGTAGCAAAGTGGAAAGTAAGAGTGTGGTTTGTTAACCTGATGTTTTGCTGAATAGTAAAATATTGCAGTTAACGTGCATCCTGCAGTACACCGACAGAGAAGCTAATGTTAGCATTGGGCTAATACGAGCTACAAAAGTAGCTAAGTTGGCTAACGTTACATATTCCATGAAAATAACTAATCCCCCAGAAGCAAAACAAATAATTACATGTCTAACAGAAAGACAGCAACCTCTGCATCACTTTTCAGGCCCTTCAGCTCCCTCAGTTGTCTCCGCCATTCAAAAGCTGCACCGATGTTGACTATGGTTTGTCCTCTCGTTTTATCCAAAGCCTTTTTCGTCACAGCCTTTTCTGCCTCCGACTTTCTTTTCTTAGCCTGTTTAGCAGGGCGAGCTGTTACAAGTAACGCTGGAAGTAGTACTTTTGGCTGCATTTTCTCTGCCATTGTTCAGCAAACTTATTCTCCTGCTAACTCGGTATTTCTGCTGAGGAGTGTGCTGAATATTTCCGGCAATGGTGACACATGATGAGTGCACGCAGAGAGGAGGGAGGGACAGAGGGGGGCGTGGGCAGGACGAGACATGAAGGAATCTGATTGGTTCTTTCCACTCGCACCGAAAGGCAGGGATTGGTCAGTTTTTACAGGCCTGCAGCTGCCAAGGAGGTCAGATTTTTTTCGTTCCTTTTTCTGAATACATTGGGTCTCATTCCTGAAAAGTGAGTAAATCTGTGTGTAGATTTGCACATAAAAGCCTACGCTACTAAAAACCTACTCCAGATTCAGGAATGCCGCAGGAAACTCAGATTTGATCGTAAACACGTGTGTATGATCATGAATGCCAATCCATCGTAAAGTGATAGCGTGCTCCCGGTAATCAGCAATTAGCATAAATCCCCGCCCATGAATAGCCAATGACTACCACATAAGAAGGTGTAGGTGTATCCAGTCGACTTGTCAGTCATGGCACAAACAAAGAAAGAGAGGGAAAGAAGAAAGAATTTTTCCGAAGCGGAGATCAAAATAATTTTGGATGAAGTGGACTTAAGAAAAAACATTTTATTTTCTTCAGTTAGTAGTGGTGTGACAGGGACAGGCAAAGCGAAGGCCTGGAGGGAGGTAACAGATGCTGTTAATGTTGTCTCAGTAGCACAAAGAACCATGTCAGAGGTGAAGTGTAAATGGTTTGATATGAAACTGGAGGCAAAGAAACGCATAAGCACACACACAAAAAGTACAGCGGTCACCAAACAAACAGAAGATTCATTTGTGGGGTTTTGAATGAAGTGGGAACGGGAAGCCAGAGATGTTTTGTGCGTAATGGATAAACTCTAAATCAGTGATGGCTGTCGGAATGTAGAGCTATTTAACATTTATTTTAACAAATGATACGGATAACATATAGCCTACAGCAGTCTGTATGCATTGTCTTCAAATTATTTGAATCTTAATAGCCTAAAGCTCTGTGTTGTACAGCTCCAAATAATTCAGTCTGCAGCCAACGTAAACTAAACATTTTTCAAATCAGATTTATTCATTCAAATGATCAAAAAGCCACAAAAAAAAGTGTTGTCTCAAATAATTGGTGCGTGCTCCTTCGTGGCTCCACCACCTGCTGCTCCTGCTGCCCCTGCTGAACCCAGGCACCGAGGCCGAAGAGGCTGTGATCCGGCTGTCCTTACGGATATTTTTATTATCATCATTCAACAGAAAGAACGTGTAATCTATTGAGTCGATTTACATAAATAATTCACAATCATGAACCTAATCTGGATCTTAAACCTGCTAATTGCCAACTAATTTAACTAAATGTGTTATATTTTTAATATTTTGTCATGTTTAGATTACGTGTTTCAAAGGCATCTGTGTATTCTGTACATAACAGAGCGCAATACGAATTAAAATTGTTTTCCAATAGTGACAATCAATATTTATGTGCTTTACTAAATTTACACAAGCACTACGAGTGGTCAGGAGCAGGAGTAGATTTTCTTAGTAGCTACGAAAAGATCGGAGCTACTAAAATATTGATGAATGACACACATGTAAATTTCCATCTGCGAACAGCTTACACACAAATTCCTTCTGCTCACATTTCATGAATGAGACCCTTTATGTATTGACTGCTCTCAGGATGGAAGGACCATTTCACCCAGTATAACAAAAAGTGTTTCTGAACAGGATTACCAAATATAGCTTTAAATAATTACTTTATTTGAAGAGCACCTTTTTTAAGCCCAAAAGCACAAAGTGCTTTCCAATATGAAGAAAATACAGCTAGCAGCTAGCAAAATACAGCTATCAAGCAACTCAGTTTCAGATGATCCAAGAGCTCAACAGTAGCTGCTTCATTTTTTACAAATATGTCAGCAACATGCATTTAGTAATTCATTGACAAATTGTTAAATTAAAAATTGCATTTTTGTGACACAACAGATGTCAAGAAAAAATGTGTAATATGTGATACAGTGACAGAAGCATCCTGAAACAGCTGCACTTTTTTTAAAAAAAAAGATTGGGTTCTTTTGGCAGATAAACCAGAACAAACCTCTGTAGTGTCTGGCTGGCTGCTGATAAAGGCATGTCCTCTACATGCAGTTGTTGGATGAGTTTCTTTTTTAGCTTGGCGCCACCTAGCATCAGTGGTGTTGCGTGGCACTGTCTCATCGACCAAACTGACAGATATCAGAGATATTCAATAATATAACTCTGTTAGACTCTCTATATTAAATAAAATATAGGCTGTAAAGCCACCAGTATAGCTCTATATATATGTAGAATGAGGAGGTGTGTGAACACTATACTAAATAAATGAGTAAAGAGACCGAGCAACAATTATCAGATTTATCTGAAGAAAAAAACCAATAGTAATGCAAATAATTATACCAGAATGCACAGTACCAGTACAAACAGCTCACAGTAAATTATACCAATATATACAGTATCAGTACAAACAACAGCAGATACAGTGGAATTATACCAATATGCACATGTAAACAGTCACGATTCTAGAATAAACGATACCGTATGGAAATGATGCAGCGCTGGTTGGAGCTCAAATTGAATGGGAGACAAAGTTCAGTGTTCACTTAGCTGCCTCCATGAGAAGAGAACAGAAGGGGGGGGTATCACTGTGCGAGGGCTGCTATAGAATGGCAACAAGGATGTCAGCCGACCAACACTCACTACCTGGTCCCTGGTTGAAGCGATTTGCGATGCTGGCCAGCTAGGAGTTAAATAGCAGCCAGTACAGTACAGTCCTCTCCCTAAGTGCAGGTGTGAACACAGCAATCGCACTCAGGTGTGCACTAAAACAACCGGAACAAGACCTTTTTGAAGAGGTGGTCTTTGTCCGGTTACTAACGAGCTCTGGTGCAGTTCATTTGTGGTGAGAATGTGTTCCAACCGCTATCTGAACCAACTGCAGTCACATAACGCATTGTTTGGGTTAAACATGAGCATGTTACAGTCCTGGAGGATTATTAATGTGCGCCTCCTCCTCCGCCTCAATATGCACATTCAGCCCATCCAATGAATCAAAACATTGTTTTCAAACTGTAGGGTTTGCCTAAAATGAACAGTGCAAGTAATATAGTACACGATGACCAGCGCTAAAATCAACCCACATAGTTGGTAGTTGTCCCTCCATTGTGACATTAGAAAATGTTGCAATTATCTTGCAAGTGTACTCTTCTTCAACGTTTTATTTTCTTACTGGATTTTTCCCGCATGGACATTCTGACCAATCAAGAGCAGCATTCTCTCACAAGGCATTTTATCTGGTCTGCTTGTAAATGCTGATATGACTCTATGCAGTTATGCAACTTTGTTACAAAATCAGTCCCTGATTCGGACCAATGCAAGACAACTTTAGGTCTAAAAGCACCCAAATATCAGTGATGACAGCAGGATCTTTTCCCAATCTTGGGCCAGTTGTGAGAGGTTTGTAAATTTTTGAAAAAAATATCTGAGTTTTAGTTTTGATCAAGCAGTGTTGATGGTTGCAGATTGTTGTTTGATGTGCTGATTCTTTTAAACAGTTTTTCAGTTGTGAATTGTTGAGGAAGCTATTTCACTGGTGTTGTATCTCTGCTTTAATGTTTCCTAAGTTATGTCTGAACCGTGATCAACTAAAGGGATAATACACCCAAAAATGAAAATTCAGCCATTATCTACTCACCCATATGCTGATGGAGGCCCTGGTGAAGTTTTAGAGTCCTCACATCCCTTGCAGAGATCAGCGGGAGGAGCGGCTAGCACACCTAATGGCAGACGGCACCCCAGACTAACGTCCAAGAACACAAAATTGAATCCACAAAGTATCTCCATACTGCTCATCTGTTGTGATCCAAGTGTGCTGCAGCCCCGACATTAAAAGTTGTTTGGAAAAACGTCATATGAACTCTGTTTTTAGCCTCACTGTAGCCTGTAGCTCTGACTGCTTCTCTGTGTTCTGCGCTCACGTGTGCCCGCACTCAGGGTGATCGGTGATGCACAGTCTCTGAAAAGCAGCAGTCTCGTCAGTACTGATGTCCAGATTCTCAAGTGCAGACATCACCAATTCCCAGTCTAAGCAGCAAAGACTTTCCTCATCCGTTGGCATTGCTTTGCATTTGAAACAACTACACGACCAGGTTTCCAGTGCTCGACTCCAGTATTCTGTGGCTGGCTGAGGGTTAGGCTCATGAAGCGGCTGCTTCGTCCAGTAGCCTGAGTTTCGTGTCTGTATACTCGGCCTCAAACAAATACGGCTCAACAAAGAAATGCTGTTCCTCCTCAATTTCAAAGTCTTCAGACATGTTGGGCTGTCCTTTGCTAAAAGACCGTAGTGCAAATGACCTTTTAGCTCTGTGGTTACTGCTGTCTCCCCCTGCGGTGCACGTGTCATGTGATGTAAACACAGGTGAGCAAAGCTCATTTTAATTTTTAATTTTTTTTTTTTTAAATTTTACATACTTTATTAATCCCTGAGGGGAAATTCAATTTTTCACTCATGCTTTCGCTGGTTGCGCGCAAGCGCACACGCGTGAGCGCGGAGCACAGAGAAACAGCCAGAGCTACAGGCTACAGTGAGGCTTAAAACAGAGTTTATATGACGTTTTTCCAAACAACTTTTTATGTCGCGACTGCAGCACACTTACATCACTACGGATGAGCATGCTGGAGATACTTTGTGGATTCAATTTTGTGTTCTTGGACGTTAGTCTGGGGCGCTGTCTGCCATTAGGTGTGCTAGCCGCTCCCCCCGCCGATATCCGCAAGGGATGTGAGGACTCTAAAACTTCACCAGGGCCTCCGTCGGCATATGGGTGAGTAGATAATGACTGAATTTTCATTTTTGGGTGCACTATCCCTTTAAGTGTCATGAATTAAATGCGAGCAGTTTATTTTATTTTTATTTTTTAAACAAAACATTTCTACTAAGCATGCATTGTGATATATGAAAACACTGTGTTGGGCCAAAAGCAGTACTTATTGGTAAAAGCTTTTTATTATGGATACACAACCTGTTTGCTAAGGGATTTTTCCCTCTGTGCCAAGAACTTTCCAACAAGGCAGAACAGGATAAGTGGCCTAAAGTTCAGTTGAAATTTGAGCCACTCCACTCCTCACCAGTTACCCACCGGCATACAGCTTGACATCAGCGTGGCGCTGATTGGCTAATCACTAGACCCCCGGCGTTCATTGGTCCGTCCATCGTTTGGATGAGATAAATCCCATATTCATTGAAGTATGCCAGACCAGAGATGCAAGCCTACTCAGTTGAGTGGACGGGGTCTATGGTCTGGAACCAAGCTACTAATAGGCCATTTTCCATTCTTTAAAGGCCGGCACAGCCGTTAAAAAATATCTACATAATTACATTAAGTAAATTACGATTGTGCCGGCCCAAAATATGCCAACGGTCCACCAGGCATTGCCCGGCATGCCCTATGGCCAATCCAGCCTAGTCATGTGTCTTCACTGTTTCTTCTCTGTTTCCCTATTCAGATTATGAAAGTAGTCTTTCATTATCTTTTAAATCTTTTAAAAATTATGTCGGATCAAGCAGCAATCTCTTGGGCTGAAGAATGAAGTCAACATTACTCTAAGTGCCAAAAACTGCAGTTCCTCTTATGTCCACTTGAGGCTGTCTCAAAGGCCCTTGTTGGCCTTTGTCTTTTAGCTGATTCGGCATGTTGAATGGCAGGGCCCTCTCTGGTGAAATAAATCATCCATTGGCTGTAGTGTTCACAGTTGGCTTTTGTTGCCATTAGTTTGATGTCATTTTGGTGTGTTTGGGCCTCTCGGAGTTGTTCGTGTTCAGTTTTTTCAATAAGAACATTTTGTTACAATGGTTTTAAGCCTGATTTTCACCAGCGAAAATTAACATTATCACTGTTGACTATAGCTGGAAATGTACTGTTCTAACCAAGCTAGCAGCTAGAGATATGGTTAGGTCCACCCTCATGTCCAAAAATGGTCACTTTTTGCTCCAAAAATCCAAGTTGGCTGATGGCCAAAAGGCTAAACTGCTGGCAGTTCATAAAGTCCACAAACACATGAAGTTACAGGGGATACATTGATTATTTTACACAGTCTATATGTTGGATTAATGATCATTTTCTTATTAACAAAATCTTAACTCTGCTCTGCAATACGTAAGCCTGACAATACTCACCAGGGCAGGACAGGAGCATCCCAGGGCGTCTGCAGGTTTGAGGCTGATCAAAGGACACTGAACTGGCCTGCTCTGTTCTGCAGGGGGCGCTGGTGTGTAGTAGGGCTGCCTCAGGATGTGGTTCATACTGCCATGGGTCCCGTTGTTTTCAGCAGGAGAGATCTGCATCACGTCTGCATGAAACACATGAAGCTGTTTAGTTTTGTGGAGCATACCACTATGTGTTTGGTCACGACAGTGTGTGTAGTTTAGATTTAAGCTTCTTTTCAAAGCATTTCATTTGAGCTTTGAAAATGAATGAATCTATAGGCTGAAATCTTGCATGACATGAGTCATGTATCTCAGTAAACATTTAGTGTGTTGTTTCTTTTGCTAGCTGTGGTGTTGTTGTGTGGTAAAGCAGGAGCAAACAGGGGCTTTTTTAGTAACGGTGCATTTTTTTAGTTCATCATTCTTTCCACAATGTCCATATTCTGACAACTGAGCTTCGTAAAATCTCAGCAGCTCAGTGTCAAGCACCATCTGCTCCCAAGCGATTCATAACAAAAGGTTTACGTTTGATAATAACAACTAAGGGAGACTAAATAGTCACTGTGATTCATTATTTATCACCAGCAAATGTCTCTGCACATTCACCTGACTGCTACAGGTAATATCAGTGCTTTATTTTGATTTTGACAGTCTTTTGGTTTTTACAGCTCTGATTAGACTCCAAGTCAAATCACCACACATCACAGCCTGCAGTTGATTTGGATGCTTACTATAAGTGGTGATTTGCCAAGACACACATATGAACTCACCACACATAAGATTGTACAGCTCAATATTGGAAAAGGGTTCCATTTCTGTTTTGTACAGGAACTTGGGTCCATAACTGACAAACATTGCCTGCAAGACAAGAGTTAAGAAGAACAGTGTTAGGCATTTATTTCAGTGCTGCAATGGCAATGGTGACCATGTTGGGAAAAAAGGGTCAAGATGGTCAAAACAGAATTACTACTACTAATAATAATGATAATTATTATAAAACATAACTGCAATAACACTATATGGAAGAAATCTGCAGATAATTGCAGTGATAGAGAAATGTTTTCTCAATTTCAGATGGACAGCTCAGTCACTAGAAGAAAATGTTGGAATTATACATTTCTGCCAGCCATGGATACATTTTATTTGTGATTACATATCATATCAACATTTCTAAAGTATGTAGTACATGAGCTGACTTTGTCATCTGGATGTGGAGGGGATAGTGGATGGTGTGAGACACCTGCCAAGCTGCAGACCACTGTTTGAGACCAACAAACAACAAAAACGGTTGTTTTTTAGTGACCCGTCACCAGCACTACTGCTAAGGGTGAGCGGAGCATGCGCTGTGCATTGGGCACCAGTGCCACATTTGGCACCAAAACAGCTCGGTATGATCATTATCAATCATAACTGTACATATTGCATAATCTCTCCTAGTTAAGGCCCTTTGAGATGCACCATGGTTTGAGCTGTGTTGCTGATAGTTTCAGTGAACGCAGCTCAGCTGCAACACACACAAGCTCGCCAGGCACTGTGCTTGCTCTTACAGGTTAATAATAGAGTTATTTATACATCAGTTGCATCTGCTCAGTGAAGATTTTTGGAACTTAAGCTCATTAAACCGTTAAAAACATACCCGCATTCAACAATGGGACAGACACATCTGGTAGTCTTTCTGTGATCAGCATCGATGCAGAATTCACTCAGAAGCTGTCATATAATGACCTTATTAATGACCTTGCGGTAATGCAGACGTGTGCCTCTGTAAAGCCTCCCACAACTGATGCGAAATGCTTGTTCTGTCTCTGCAGAATCGTAAAGTTTTGTGACTGTTATTCTGTTTGGGAATAATGGGACAGCTCTTTTTGTCTTGTTATTTATTTACACTTATTCTGAAAATAATAGTATTGATATCCTATCCTATTCGATCCCACTCCATTCTATCATTCTTCCATTTATTTCCAGTGACTTCCACGTACCAAATGTGAGTATTTTTTAGGTACCTGTTGCTGTTAATCCTGCAGGGGTAGTGCCATGAAAAGCCATTGTTTTTTACCAAGACATCTCTGCTTTTCCAGGTGGGACTGTGCCCCCAAAACCTGGTATTTTAAGCCAAAACATTATCTATTCCTTACCACAAGTAACTGTATAATGTAACTTTTTTGTGCTTAAACCTAACTACACATTAACCACAGCGCTGTTGAGACAAAAGTTTCAATGTATCCACTACATATAACAAACAAATGTAACATATCTGTGGTTCACAAATATCTACAATACCAACATTTCTTTCTGACGACTGAGCTGAAAGGTAGCAGAAGTTTTTTTGTTGACATTACTGTTGATTGATGGCTAATAGATCAGAATAGTCAAGGAATTGTCAGGGCTCACATGCATGGTCTCAACGTCGTTGTCATAGCCGTGGGCCCCACCAGAGCAGAATGTGAGAGATCCTGGATATCTGTGAAGAACAGATTTTTAACTTAAGCATAAAAAAATCTGCTCAGTCTTTGATAAATATTTAAATGCTCAGTGTGCAGAGTTGGAGTGTGTGAAGTAATAAAACAGCGTTGATAGGGGCATTTAGAGAAAAGGACAGGATGTGTTCAATAAAAGTCACTGGTTTCAATTAGCTCTGTAGAGCCCTGCAGAGACTTCATCATCAGTCTCTTAGAAAAGTAGACTAATGACCTGTTTACAGGATGATTTATCTCTTAATACCTGTATCTATTTTTTCCATGTCTTACCCAACTAATTTTAAACGTAATACTGTAGTTTTTCCACCTCCCAGGCAATTTACCACAAAACTAAAATCAGCTTGAATTCCTCTCACAGCCCACAGTCTTTTCATTGTGATGTCAAGCAGTGCCTCTTGTTATAGCTCAGATTTTAATCTGTGGCATTATTTGTGTGTGGTCGGTACTTTCCATGACAGTGTATTTTGTAAACATTGGTGTCTGCTATCAAAAAGGGTCTAAAACTCCAGCCTATAACTGCGATAAAAAAAACAATAATGAAAAAATAAAAAATTGATGGAGAGCGGACATGGATACCTCTCAAACAGCCATTTTGGATCAACCAGGACGTTAACATCTTCAATGCGACGGCTGTTTGCAAAGTGGAGGCGCTTTGGCAGGTTGGCCTTCAGGTATGGCTTGATCTTTTGGTCTGGCTTCTTACACTGAAATAACCACAAACACGATTTCATAATAGTACATTTCTTATATTTGGCAAAAAATGTGAGATTTTTTAGCATTTCAAGGGGAAAAAAACCCAATAAAGTCCTTTTAAATGTAAGTTTTACTGCATGCAGGTCATCATTTCATTAGAAACTCCACTGTAAATTAAACATGTAGGTGTTTGTGAGAGCATGGAACACTTACAGTCATGTTAGCAATGAGTCCGGCCGAATCCACTTTTGAAAAGGAAAAAATAATGACGTTAACATTTTAATTTATCTAATTTAATGTTACACCAAACCAAACCAGGCAATCAGGATATAACTTGAAGTGATATCTTAACCATGTTATTATTTGTAAGATTGAGAATCAACTCTCCAAGTTGTTCTTAAGATTGAAAAACTGATCTAATACAAGAAATCCAAGATCTTGATTCCTACTTCATCTTATTACATTTGATGTTTTTTTTATGAATTAGAAGATATCAACATGGTCAACATGATTAATAATTACTTTGGATTTAAAGCAACACTTACCTTTCTGGAAATTTCACACTTTTCTTTGTTCAGGCTAAAATGCTATTATTAATAAGGTGATGGCACATTAAAATGTAAATGAATTCTACCAGAAATAAAAACTCATAATTATACCATTTTCATATCGTTCTAAGAAAACTCAGACCAATCATTGCATTCAGACTGAATGCAATGATTGGTCAGAGTTTTCTCCTGTCCTGTCTGTCTTCCCCACCTGGAGGCCTCAGACTGATGTAACCGCTCGCGTAACATCACCCCAGACACCCCCCCTCCCTCTAAAACTCATCAGTCATCACTGACTCCAGTTGAGTTTTAAAACTCCAGGGTTGCGTTTGACTGTCTTGGTTGTAACCTCTTCCATGTATCTAATGTTACCTTGCCAACGCCTACATCTATCATAGACGTAATGGAGGAGGGGGGAGTAGGCCTTTGGAGGGAGATGTAGTTGCAGGAGGAGGGGGATGGGACTTTGGAGGGAGGTGGGAGTTGTGGATGTTCAAATTTTTCTAAGTGCTGTGTGAAATGCACGAAAGGTAAGAGCTGCTTTAACAGCAATGCTGTGTTTGTCACAGGTTGAGAATTTGTTTGTAGTTGTTGACATTGAGAGGTCAGGGTTAAGAGGCTGGAAATAACAGTTGGCACCAAGAGATGGCTGCAAAACAGCACCTGCCACTGACAGCATCAGGACTACGGTTTATCCCATAGACTGTACAATAAAATGTATGTACCCACTGTACCCACTGTGACATCACCCACAGTGATCCACGTCACTCAAAGTGGCCCCACCCCTAATTATGCTTGCTTATGCCTTAGGCTTTAATAAAATGTAAAAGGGTGAGTTATATAAAAATTCACCCCATACAGTCAGCCAGTTCTCACTCCAAACTCGTCAGATATCACCGCTTCGTCAGTGATCTAAGCATCAGATTTCAAGACGGTATGATACAAACAGGGTGGCGGCAACTGGTAATGCCAGCAAGATACAAACGAATTGTCATCTTCTGTTCGTTTCCGGTGTGAAACCAAAATTAAATGAAGTTATTTTGATAGTGTGGCATGCTGCAGTAGTGACATATGTTACATGACGTATGTCACATGACCTTGAATGACGTTAATAACAATCGTACTTATATTAAGCCAAGCCATGATGTTTTTTTCTAAACCTAACTATGTGCTTTAATTGCCAATACCTAAGGAAATAAACCTTGAAAAGTTTATTTTGAAGACTGTGTTCAGAAACTGTACATTTCCTGTAAAAATGGATTTTGAAAGACACAATGCATGCAACATGACATGCTGTCCTAGAATGTCTAAAACTGACATAGAAGGGTAACTAGTGCGTTGATGAACTGGGATGAGAACGCATTGGTACAGTTTTCATGAATGTTGAAATTAGCTATAAAGACCAAAACAGTTTTTTGTACCAGGGTGTAAACATGTTTATTTCTGCTGTGAGGTTGGACATGTTAACATGGGGGCCTATGGAGATTAACTTGCTCTTGGAGCCAGTCTCAAGTGGACTGCAGTTTTGCAGTTTTTAACACTTCCCTGTTGGCATCATTTTTCAGCCCTGGTGGGTGCTCCTTGTTTTCTATCCATGCACTCCGTCACTGTGATGGCTTCAGACTGCCCTCCTTCAAAAAATAGTCCATATAGGTCATCTGAACAAGCAGTTTACTACAACCCATATTTACATTTATTGTTAGGTGGCAACCTCTAGTGGCCATAGTGATCATGCAGGAGCAAAGGGGGTATTCAGGTGGCGTAGTATAAAGAGCAGCAAAGTCTGCTTTGGGACGAGGTCGAGGTGGATGGATGTGTCAAACAACAGAACTTTCATCTAGGAGACCACTGATTGTGTCCCATGTGACACCAAAAGTCAGTGCTGATTTATCTTCATTTACATAATGCACTTAACTTGTGTCACAGACATAATATAAGCTAACTACAACACATGTAACTAAAGTTGCATAAAAAACACACTCATTTGAACCCGAATTAAGATTTTTTCTTAATTCTAACAAAGTAGAAACCTAAACCCTACCTTAAACTAACCAAACAGTTTTACAATATTTTATGCACTAATTTGTGCATTTTCTTCATCAATACATGGTGTAAATGTTTTTATTTTTGTCAAAATAAAAGTCCTCTGGAACTTTAATGTTTTCAGTGAGAGGAATGCATATGCTCTAAAATTTCGGGTGGATGTGTCCAGTGTTGGGTAGCTCCATTGGTATCACTGAAAATCATGTTATTACGTGTCACACAAAGACTGCCTGATTGCAAGCATTTTATGTTATCTCAGATCTCCATACTCGACTGCTTTCATTTGACTGTGGTGGGTGCAGCTTAGTGCCGTCCACTGATACGGCGGCTGAGCATCAAGAACAGAACAGAACAGATTTGGTTATAATACTATCTGACTGCGAAAGTGAATAAATGAAAAATGTAAACAGAAGCCAGTGCCAGTCATGATTTCTCATCAGTACAACAGAAGGTAAAAGTGGCCTTGATGATGAGGTGGGATTTTCATGTTTTTGCTTGCTGTAAAAGAAGACATGATTCTCAGTTTGCTGGATAAAATGCTAAGGCAGGTTATGAAACTCCTTCACAAGCCTTTTTATAATGTCAGTGTTTCTTGGGTCAGAGCTATCACCTGATAACAGCAGCTCTTATTCTTTCTCAGTCAGCAGTACTGTAGCCAGCCCAGTTGCCAGAAGAAAATGTTAGCATTGTACATTTCTGCAAACCACAAATGTTACATTTGCACATTTTACAGGTATCATATCAACATTTCTAAATTGATGAAGTAGCTGTGCTGACTGTCATTGTGAAGTGGAGGGGATGGTGGATAGTGTGACACCGAGACGAGATGCCTGCCAAGCTGCAGAGCTCTGTTCAAGACCAACAGACATCAAAAACAGTTGTCTTTTAGCATGTTATTGCCATGTTTCCAGCAACTTTCTAGCCCTCAAACATAGGTGTTTTTAGGGACCCGTCGCTGTTTTTCCACCAGGGATATTGGTACAAAAAGTGGGTATTTTAAGCCAAAACATCTTTTCCTAACCATAACCAAGTGATTTTTGTGCATAAACAGGAAAGTTTCAACATATCCGCTACATAATAACGTAAAAATGTAATGAATCTGTGGTTTGCAGAAGCATTTTTTTTCTCACAATTGGGTTGTTACAGCAGGTAGCTTCAGTATGTTTACTCACAAATTGTTTCGTTGTTTTTGGCTCTGATGCGCCCGAATGTTCCTTCAGTGACCCAGTAGTTCTTCACGTCTCCCACCAGCTCCTGCAGCACCTCCTTCCTGTTGCAGCTAGTGTCCTCCATACCTGCAATAGTAATTAGCTGTTATATTAACCTTTCTTAAATTATACTCCATCAGACTGTTGACATTCTCTTGGCTCTGAGGAACTAAATGTGGTTTTGTATGTTTTCTTGTAAACTTGCCTGCATTTTACACTTCCATCACACTGGTTTTTTTTATTTTTTCAAATTGATTTCTATCCAGGCGATTGCTGTGGCACAAAAACCTGACTCAGTGGCCAGTTGTGACAAAATAAAGGCAGCATATAAAACAAACATACAAAAAACACAGATTTATATAATGATATTGAAGAAGAAAAAAATAGATCAGTCTCATCGTGGCTGGTCAGTATCTACCCTGATGTCAGCCCTGCATATTGTATCAGACCATTTCTTCTATAACACACTCAAAACAACTAATTGGATCCATGGCTTCATTTATTGGTTTTAAATAATGCCATATCAGTGAAATATTGTGTGTTACCATGATCTGCCACGATGATGATGTTTAGACAGCGGTGGAGGCCAATCTGTTTCAGGCCATTCATGAGTTGGCCAATGATCTTATCCACACCCTGGATTGCTTCAATCAGCTGCAGGAAACAGATGAAACAAACACACACATTCAGCAGCTGGCCCATCTTTTCTCCACAGAAAGCCCCCATTAGCTTTAGATATAATGTGACATCAAGACATACAAAAATATATTAAAATCATTATTAAAATGTAGATTATGCACTGCAGTTCTCATTCATTAAGTTTCTTTAAATGTTTTATCTCTGTCAGTATTGACCCACTGTGTGGACATCACTGAGATAGCACACATGTATTGTAAACACACTGCTGGCAAAGAAAGCTATCTCCAAAGCACCCATCGATCAAACAGCACTTTATAATGTACCAGTGGACATTATAAAGTAAAAAGAGGGGGATCAACAAGCCTTACAGACTGACAGCTCCTCAGTGAACTGCTGGGTCATTGTTATGGAACTTGTTAAAAATTACACTAATGACTGTTGGATGGAAGAGCAGAGCTAACATTGCTCTGGCTGAGAGCAATCAAAAGAGGCTTTGTCCGTCTTGAATCTTTGGACTCCAGAGAGGCATGACATTTCATTCACAACATACTCAGATACCAAAACTTTGTCTGCAACCAAAGGTGCCTGCATGCTCCAGGAAAACAGGATGTGGATGTTCCAACAGCTTGCGACATCTGTCAGAAGATGCTGATTCAGCATGAGTCCTGTTGTTTGCTATTATTTAATTTGGGACTCAGACAGAATTCCTGCAGGCATGGAATTTAAGACTTTGCTTGTGCCAAGAGGATTGTAAAAAGGTAGAAAATTAGTTCCTCAGATGTAAGGTTGGGCTCAGGCAGATAGTTTCCTTATGAACTTTAGGCAAGCTGAGAGAAGCACTTGAAAAGGCAAAGTGGTTCCAGTTAATTGACAGTCTGCAGCGGGTGGACGTGCACAACACATGATGTTGTTGTTAATGGGAATGGTCCATTTAGGCAATTTTGACGATAAACTAACATCACCATGAATGACGAACTAGAAAAAAAATCAGATGAACAGAGACACTTCCTGTCAACAATGATGTCATGTTTAGTTAGAGCTGTAAATGTTATTAGACAGTCTTTTTTTCTACTCTCCAAATTGGCCATAAACCCACTTCAAGATTACACAAGCAGGAGGTGGACTTTCTTTTCATATAAACACACAGTTAGGGGGAAAGAGATTATCTTTAGCTCTTCAGTTTGATTGGCTCATTTGGTTTCCACTTGACTAACCCTGAAAAATGACCATGCCATTACCCAGATTTAATAAATGCACCACTGAAGATGATGTTGAGAGGTTCACTAAATGACTGTCTGGAAATTCACAAAGGCCCATAAAGAGTCTGACTCTGCTGATGGGATGGCAATTGTTTTATTTATTTATTGGACATCTGATTCAACCTTTATGGAGATCTTTTATCTGTGGCCATTAAAGGACTTTAGACTTTTAGAATTGTGCAACAACAAGACTTATCTGTGATGATTGGCGATAATGGCCAACATTAATGAGGCTATGATGAGGCTATATATGATGATGGGATTTGTTTCAGCACTGTTAGTTTGATATTAAGTGTTGAAGTCAGCTGATGTGAAGAACTAATTAAAGATTTACTGACATGATGTAAAAAGAAATGTAAAATCACTTCCTGTGATCCAGTGAGTCAGGTGAACTTACCCCTCCACTCACAGGACCGTAGCTGTGTCCAGATTTATCGGGTTCCTCCAGATATAATGTGTAGAAGTCTGGTCTGGAGGAAAAAGTCATTTTTACTGAAAGTTGAATTTTATCAATGACACCACCAGATAAATCATTGAAGGTATTTGCTGAATGAAAGTATTCTGATTCCTTTATTGACCTCACTGCTTTTACTGAATTGAATAGAAGAAAAACAAACCTTTCATCATCTGGCAGCTGAAGCCATTTGAGCAAAGTGAATACTCTTTCCTCAAATGGCACTTTACTGGGAAAAAAAGAGACAGAGGAGAGAGAGGTGACAGTGGTGAACATAAGCTTAATGGACCTCTTCACTCACAAAATTTTTTTGTCGGTCTGCCTTTAAGAAATCTCAAACTGTGAAGCAATGCAGGGAACAAAAGATATGGTATCAGTCAAACAAAAATTAATGTTGCAAAATTATATCAAGATGTCACGTCCAGTCACCACTGTACTTTTTTAGTCTACTTGAGACTGCTCTGTGTGAACAAATGCAGCAAAGTCTCCTCTTCTAATCTGGTCAGACAATACAAAACAATTCTCTGATATCACTGTTTCTGCTAAAACTGCCTTTTAAATCAATTAATCACCCTGTGTTATGTTGCATTCCAGAAGAAAACTTATTTAATGTATTTTTTGCATGCCTCCACGTTGATAAGAGAATTCAAAAACTGAATTTTTTTTTTTGATGATTTGAAGTAAAGGGGGGCTGAGTTTAATAACAACAAAACTATTGAAAAACATCCTTTTACAAACTCTTTGTCCAGTATGTTGCGATGTTCTGAATGCAACAATTCAGTCACTCTCTGCAACCTTGCAATTTTATCTGATCACCACAACTTTGCTGTAAAATTGACAATTTAAAACTGTGCCTGGAACAGAGTCACACACGCACGCACGCACGCATGCACACGCGCGCGCGCACACACACACACACACACACACACACACACACACACACACACAGTGACAGGGCTACTGTTAGCATCACATAGCTAAGCCATGTTTCTGTGTCAGTGTGGATTAATGGCTCGGTGTGGGGTGTTCTCTCCAAGCGGCAAAATAGCACTTTGTAACACTGTTAGTGTTACAAAGTGCTTCACAAATTATACATACAAATATTAAATGGCAAATTAAGATGTTATGATCACATTATGCTATGTTAGCTAGTGCTAACCAGGCAGAGAGAGCACAGTGCTGCGTCAAACAGCATCAACAGCTGATTGTCAGCAATTGCTTTCTTGGTTAGAATAAAAAAAAACAACAACAAAAAAAAAATACAATGATTGCTACAGTGTAGGAAAACATGCAAATAGTTAATCAGAACAGCCTGAGTAACTGATATACAAATGATCATTTTGTGGTTTAAAAGTTCCTTTAAAAGACATTTTAGCAGAAACAGTGACATTAAAATTTGCTTTGTTTTGTTTGAACAGTATGGAAAAGGTGGCTTTGGTCTCAACTAAGGGGGCTGATAAAGCACAGCAGTGACTGGACTTGTCTTCTAGATATAATTTTACAACATTTATTTCTGGTTGACTGCAACAGCTTCAAGAGATTTCTCACTAACGGGCCTGCATACTTGTTCATATATCTTAACAACTTCAGCTGTAGTGACAATGAGTTCTTCAGAGGCTTCTCAGGGTGTGTTGTTATGAGCACAGCCATCTCATGCATCGATTTCAAATTGTTAAGTGATATCTGCTAGCTGTTTGAGGACAGCTAAGGTCAGCTAAAAGCATTTACTGAGCCTGTTTGCAGATTTCAGACAGAGTTGGGAAAAGAATGTACTGAGACATGGACCAACATACTGAGATTTTTTTTGTCTTTTCATGGTAATGCTCTTAATGTAGGGTCAGGGGTGATAAAGGTTAATGACAACATTACCACATTACAACATTACAACAACATCTACCAACCCAAGCAGAGATAGAAACCCTTTGCCTCCGTTACACAATCACCATAGTATAGTACTTTATCAGCTGAGATGCTGTTCAGGCTGCTTTATTGCTTGTAATCGCTTTGAAAGGACTTTATGTGATTTGATTGAACTTTTATTGATATTGCTTCAGAGATGTCAACAGGTCAAAGATTAAACCAATTCATAAAATGCTACCTGATGAAAGACACTGAGCATGAAATGTTTTTTGTGAATGTTCATTTCTAGCCAATGGTCTTGTGTGCTTTTCCTTAGATTAATCTAAAGCTTTTATATATGAGCTCAGTCTCTGCAAACATTCAGCTGCAAAGCTGTTTTTGTCACAGATGTGAACACTTGCATCAGGGACTAAAACTGTTGCAACATCTGCCTCACTTACTTAACATGGAAAGAAACTCTGTGTCACAATGAAGCAGTTTTCACAATGGTTGTGATGATTTAAAGGGGTTAGGTCAGATTTTATTAAGTATTAGTATTATAATACCTACCTACCTACGATGCACTTCTGTGGACGGGGGTCAGCAGCAAAACGAATTCTGGCCACATAAAAAGTGTACGCTATATTCAGAGTATTTTCAGTGCTTTACCTTTCCATCAGACAGCCCATAACAATATCACATCTATGTTCTTTTCAAGTCCACCAAACTCCATTGACAAAACCATTAATTTTGGCTCACTGAACACAAGAGCTGCTGGTTGACTGCTGCCTTGATCAGTTAGTTAGTTTGTGATATTGTTTGGCTCTGGTGAATCTGAACTAACCCTTTTAAAACACCAAAGTCAAAGAATTACAAGGACAAAATAACTGACTGAGGCAGCAGTAGACCAGCAGCTCCTGCATCCAGCAATGTTAAATCACTGTTTTTCTCAATGGAGTCTGATTTTGAAGAGCAATTTAACACATTCATTTCCACATTGGAAATCGTCTGACAGAAAGGTAAAGCAGTGAAAATAGTCTTGAAACAGCCTACACTTAAAGTGATGTTGATTGTTTTAAGTTGGACTTAGTTTAGGTGGCTAAAGGTGCTATGCTATGTCTCCTTTTCAACCCCCAATCCACAGCAGTAAATTGCTTAGCTTCTGTGTTGGACTCCTGCAAGCTTCTCCAAACTGGGGATGTGCTGACCACCAACTACTGTATGTAGTACACTGACTGTGGATAAGTACCTCATACAACCCCACTTCAAAAAATGTGAACTATCCCCTGAAGGTGGGTGTGATAACTGCTCCAACATTTGCCAACAAAAAGTCCTCCAAAAAAATCATTCTGTTCTAAAAGCAACTGCACAGTGACGGCCAAGAGGAAACACAACTGACTCACCAGTTGTCTTTACAGCTCATCTGCACTGTAGGAAGGAAGTTGTAGCACAACTATTGCAAGTTTTTTGTTATAATTAACTAACAAAACTGTTACATCATAATTTGTGCTTGTTTAGCAAAAAAATGATCTTACCATGGCTGCTCACACACATGCCTGCATGAACTTGTGCAGATTTTTGAACTCTCAGCAGGGCTCAGGGTCAAATAATGGTTGCGCCCTGTCTGCCTTTGTTAAAAGGTGTGATGATAACTTCTTTGACCTTAATGCACGGAATGAATTACAGTAAAAACTAAAGAATAAATCATTAATTGCTGGCAGAATAGTGACAACCTTACAGCTGGCATTATACATACCAAGGGAGTTCAAATTGTTGTCACATTTAAGTATCTAGGAACAGAGTTCAACTCTTAACTCAAGTTTGATGTAAACACTGAGGGCTCTAGTTTCCCGGGGCGGCGCAGGGTGGCGAACCCTGTGCAGAGCTAGTTTCGAGCAGCGCAACCCGAGGCACGCTCAGTTTGGTAGTTTGGCAGACCGAGGTGTGCTGAGATGGGTGTGGCAGCGCAACGGGGGGGGTGTCGACAGATCCAGCTTGGCGCAGTGACAGTTTCGTGCCAAAAGGCTTCGCCTAAGGTGCGCTAAAAGCTCGCCAACTGAAACCAGGTCTACTGTCAGCGCAGGCAGAGCGCAGCACTAGTGGAGGTTTGGCTGACTGGCGGACAGTGCGCACACGTCACCAAAACCTCACAGGCAGGTTTCCAGAATGTCAGGCACATTAACAATGCAATAAATACCCACAAAAACCACTATTCAATGCAACTATCTGCAATCAGCACATAAATGTATCTTTATATTGACTGTCCCGTCACATCTGATGTCAAATCAAAGGGGATTAGCACCGTTTGGCACACATAAAGAAAACCCAACATGATTTGATTAACACAGCTGCAAACTAATGAGTTCACATCCCTCTCAGCCAACCACAAACAGCCACAGCATCAGATAGGGAGTATACAGTATATTCAGCATCTGAAGAGAGATGATGAGCTCATGAGACTACTGCTGTGGAACTGGAGCTCTGTGCCTGGAACAGAGTCTCACACACACACACAGACACACACACACAGTGACAGGGCTACTGTTAGCATCAGATGGAGTACATTATTGCGAGGAGGAGGAGGAGGAGGAGGACTTACGCAGAGAGGGTGTACCCTCAAAGGACATCCTATTTGGGCATGACAGAGCTGGAATGCAGGTGGGCCACACGAATAATGACTGGAATACCGCTGTGTCCAATATAATTCTCATTTCATGTCGTACTCTTTTTCATTACACAGGAACAAATTACATCTACCCCGCGAGGTGGTCCAAGTGGTGACGCGCATCGTGGCCTCTGATGCGCACCCCAGTGGCACCTGTGCTCTCCCTGTTGCTGTAAAGGTGACAGTGGCTCTGACCTTCTTAGCCACCAGATCTTTCCAGCACACAATGGCAACAGTAGCGGGGATCAGTCAGAGAGCTGTCATTTCGGCTATACATGCAGTGACGTCTAGTCTAGTCCGACATGCAAATGAGCACATAATTTTTTCATCCACATCTGAGAGCCAGCTGGAAACAAAGCGAGGTTTCTTGTTGAAATGTGGATTCCCTGGGGTACTGGGACCAATTGACTGCACACATGTACAGTTGCGTGCCCCAGATATCCAAGCCATCACTTATGGCAGTCTGTATATTCGGACACTGCGAGCTTGGACCTCCCGGACCAAAACATCAGTTTCCTCCTGGGAGAAGTTTGGCTGTCTGACGCTGCTGCTCTCTTCTGCCATGGGGAATTGAGTAAACTCTCATTACGCCTTTGCGCGGCGCATTTAAGGGCGAGGAGAGGGGCTCATTTGATTGGTGTGATGTGTGTAAAACCCACTCCACGCCTTCTCTCCTCCCTCTTTTCGCCTTGCACAGGTAGGAGGGACGGAGGTGGGAAAGATAAGTAGCTGCGCCAGCGAGCACAGTGTGCCAAACTTGCAAAATCCACCTGGCCACACCCAGTTGGTGAAGCACAGGTGCGCTGCGCCTCCACCTGCGAAACTAGAGGCCATAGTCAATTGTGGAGCACAGCTAACAAAGAATTCACTTTTGTGAAAGTTCAAAGGTCTAGTTTACTAACTGCTACACTAAGTCCTTCATTCTGTCTTCTATCAGGCGACTAAATGCAGAAGTGCAAGGTAAGGCAAGTCTGAGGGCAAGGTAAAGCAGTGACAGTATACTTAAAGTGCACTTGATTTTTTCAGGTGGCGGACGTTGTCTTAACTTCAATTTCAGTGCTCTGTTTTCTTAGATGTTGATTAAAAGTGCCATTTAATATCCAAAATGTAATGCTTTACCCATATCATACTGTTTGAGACATTAAACTGCCTGTTCTTTTGTAATGTTGCTCAAACCAGGTAATCATCCAGCAGGATGATATACTTCACAGCAACACTCTGGTTCCCCAGTAAGCTTTTGAAAAACAGAGGTTTCAGTTTTACCCATTGTAAGGTTTGTAGATGTCGGGAAAACTTCCGTTGATTTTGACGTCTGATCCTGGCCAGAAGAAAGTCCCAGACTTCAGCCCCTGGTGCTTTGCTGTGTGCCAAATCTACATAGACAAACAGGACATGTCGACTCAGGGCAGGAGACTCAGGAGAACTTACACATTTATAACACACTTATACTGAGTTAAATCTTCAGCTACAAAATCACGTTATTTCTTGGCTACTGCGTTAAATCCAATGTGATTATTCTCAGGGTCCTTTTCCCTCAGAAATACAGCATAATCTAAAGTCTAATTCACAAGTAACTCACAAACTGTGAAATCTGTCTGTCTTGGATGTATTTCCTGTTCTGTATCTGCTCCTCCCAGCACATGATTGAACCTACATACAATACATGGATCCAAATCAAACAATGGGCCCCTGAGCACAAATATGCAAGGGGCCCACCCACCACCTCTCCTACATAGGAGCAAGACACATAGATTTGGTGGTTTTTGGTCAATTTGTGTTTTTTTATTTTTATTGTTTTGTCTTTTTGTGTTCATTTTGAGTCTCATGTTCATTTGACATCTGACATTTTGCAAGTGAAGGCTCCCGGGTATGTGCCCAGTGTGGCCGTTCAGTAATCCATCCATGCTTACATATCCTTACATCAAGTGAAATATGTAAATATCTTAGTTTTGCCTATCATGCTACATACAGGTGGCTTATTGTTGAAGGCTGTTGCATCTATAAGCTGCCTGAAAGAAAAATCTGCAAACACTATGAAAAATGGTAGCCTACCTTGTTTTTGGGGTATTTTGCAGTTAATGTTCACTGAGCTCCTTTGTAGCAAAGATGCAACTACATTATCTTATACAAAATATTTATTAACATCTATGAATTCATCATCTTGTCTGCATCCAAAGTTCATAAGTTAAACCAAACAAGACTCACAGGCTGTCCGAGGTACCAGTCAGGGTTGTCTTTCTCTGGACTGGACAGACTGAAGGTGGCGTCAAACACCGGGTCGTACATCGTGTTGTCAATCAAACCATTGGACTCTGGGTAGAGACCCTGGGAGGAGGAGGAGGAGGGAGAGGAGAGGAGAGGAGAATGTGTGACAGTTATTTCGGCATGAATCAGTTTCGCTATGAAATACTTCTGTAAAAGTGCAAGTATGACATGAGGCCTCATTAATTTGTGAGAGGGTGGAGTCAGTGCTCTTTATGAGTAAGTTATGTATTCATGGAAAGTAGGAGTTGTCTGACACACATCTGTAGTTTACCTTCAGTTGCATATCTGTGTCTGTCTTTGCTTATGTAAACATGCTCTGCCTTCAGATAAATCTATTTTTTTCAGCCTCTGGAGGAGCATGCTGTCAACACCCAGTGGGGGTTTTATTAGCCTGCAACCGTAAGGGCTGAAATACCTCTGAAACTGCAAGTTAAAGGGATCATTCAGATTTTCTGAAGTGGGATTGTATGAGGTAGTTATTCATAGTCAGTGTATTACCTACAGGAGATGGCGTTTGCCTTGCCCCCAGTTAAGAGAAAAAGACAGGAGAGCCACCTCAGAAGCTAAGTGATGTACTGCTGTGGACAGGGGCAGCAACAAAATGGGCTTTAGCCACCTTAGAAAAAATTCTACATAAAAGGATTTTCTCAACCAAAGAAATTCCATATTCTAACGCTTAGGCCTAAAGGCCAAAACACACCAGTGACAAACGCTGCTTATCCACAAATGTGCCACAATTATTTTCAATGTACAACCCCAACTGGCACCGGCTAGACGCGTGTCACTTCATGCCACTGCCCTATTTCGGCCTCGCCACCCTCAGAAATACATGCATTTTTCCTCCACTCTCTCTCTGCTTGTACATATCAGCTGCCGAAGCAGCTCTTTTTCTCTTCTCCTATGGCAGCTCGACTCTTCTCCTCACCACTGATGTATAAAGAGAACTCTGTTGCTGTCTCATGTGTGACAAAGAGTGGATGAGGAGAGACTCATTGTTGAGGTAAAGAAATACCCAGAGCTAAATTACCCACAATCCTGTTTTTATAAAGACAATGGGCAAAAAGATATTGCCTGGCAAGTCACAGCTCTGGAGATTGGCTCTTCAGGTGAGAAATCAAGCTTAATTAGTGGCTCTCCACACATGATTTTAAGCTAATGCAGAGGTGAAGGAAGTACAGATCTTTTAGTAAAAGTAGTAATAACTTTGCGTGGTCGTCTGCTGACAAGCTGCAGCGCGATTGTATCCAGTGTGTGCTAGGGGCAGCACTTGACAGGCGGCATTTGACACACTGTTTTTTTTTTTGTTTCGTTTTTTGTTTTCAGCTCTTCTGTGCCGCTCACTGAAATGCAGGATCTGAGTGAAACCAAACTTCGCTTTTCTAAAGATTTTAAAGATTGTACATGCTTGTGTTTTTCCAGACTGATCAAACAAAGAAATAAAAACAACTGTGGCTAGTTACACTGAATAAAGACATCTACACTCCACCTGCAAGACATGTGTTTTAACAATTCTCTTTGTGGATAATGTAAAAAAAAAAAAAAAAACACTGCCAAATAAGCAAGAGAGACACTTGGTGAAGAGCACTGCTGTACCTAACCATCAGTTCAGATTACACTGGATATGTACAAATAAATTAAATGACTTTGCAAACTATCAGTGAAGCGTAAAGCGCTGGCATCCTCTGATACAGAAAGACCCTGAGGTTGTGTTTTACTGTAACCAAGTCCAGGCAGCAGTAGCTCTCTGGGTCCCTTCAGCATGTGTTTACAGCTCACAGTTAACTTCTGCTCTTTCTGGGCCTCCAGTTTCTGCAGAAGTTTCCCCTCTTTCTTTTTCAATCCATTCAGTGTCTCTCTGCAAACGTTTTTTTTCTCTATAGTGTGGTTCATTAAGGTATCCTTTTGTCTCCACAGTGAACTGCATTTTGTCATCGCTGTCATAATCACACAGTTTTATTATCTTTTATTTGTTGTCTCCATAAACCGCTAACAATCTGACCCAAACAGCTGACCTGTGGCATAATACAGTGACGGCACAGCTGCACTTCTGCGTAGGAATACTAACTTCTACAGTTCAGAAAATGTAGCACCAAAATAAGGGGCTGTCAGATGGTAAGGTAACATGGTGAAAATATTCTGTATATACTGTCCACTTAGACTGTGTGTAATATACTAACTATGAATAAGTACGGGGCGGCAGTAGCTCAGTCCATAGGGACTTGGGTTGGAAAGCAGAGGGCCACCTGGTCAAGTCTCCATATGGATCAAATATGGAGCATGGTCTGGTAACTGGAGAGGTGCTAGTTTGCCTCCTGGGCACAGCCAATGTGCCCTTGAGCAAGACACTGGACTCCAAACTGCTCAGGGCGCAGCCCCCTCACTCTGACATCTGTCCATTTAATGCATATACAAGGCCTACTTGTGCATGTGTGTGTATTTCAGGCCTGTGTGTATATGGGCGGCGCTTTCCCTCCATCTGTGTGTCGTCCAAATCCTCTTTGTCTTCATCATCTACCTGAATATTACTATCTGACCTGTTAAAACTTTGCTATCCGAGTTATGAAATGATATTGTGCCCTGTTCCACTCTCTTGTTGCTGATGTGCCTGTCCTCCAGGTTATGTCACATTTTCTCAGCTGCTTTTTGGTCAAACAACTCTCTAAAGGTTTTTGACAGATGCAACAAAACGCAGAACATTGAACCTATTCAAAAAATTTTAATAACAGATGAAAATGCTGGAGTCAGTGTGCAAAAATGATTGACACAAGATGAGGTTCTATTTATTTTAAACGTGCAACAATTTCAGATGTAAAATATGGACATGGTGTTCAATGGCTTTGATGAGAATGTCGTTAGTTTTTCTTTTGGTCATTATCTGAGGACCCATCAGCTACCGGTCTGAAAAAGATAAGCCTCTGGGGGCAACGGCACAATATTTCAGACTGATTTGGTGTAGCAAGCAGACAACTGAGCCGAGACTTACTCTTCCATGTGCCTGTCATTTCAACTAATCTCCATAAACAGAAATCTGTATATGACTGCAGATACATTTTTAAAAAGCTTTGAGAATAGAATAGCTAAAGAATTGGACAAATTAAACATCCATCCTGAGGGGGATATGTGCATTGTACCATATTTCTTGGTATTCCATCCAAACATATTGTGACATTTATTCCAATGTCACAAATGTCAATATGATGGTGTCACTAGAAGAAAAGTGGGATCACCAGAGTTAGTAGGATTTATCTTTTTGTGACCATGGATGACTGAGCAAAATGCCACGGTGCTTAAACTAATAGTTTGGGGATATTTCAGTCTGGGCAAAAGTGGTGGACCGACCCACCACACTGTCTTTCTTAGAGCCACGCCACTGGCTGAAAAAGTCAAATCAAAGCTGCTGTGCTCTGCGGCTAAATAACAGCAACAATAACAGTTAATGCCTTTGCTTGCAATCTGCAATCCATTTCAGCTACATGTGGGGGGTAGAGGTCAGAAAGTTTTTATCAAAGCTATCACAATTTCTGCATGTGTATGATTGCATGCATGTGTTCATGGTTCCATGTGTAGCGGTGTGAGTGCCTCGTGTCCTCACCGTGACAATGGTATAGTGATTAGGGAACGTCTTGCTGGGAAATGCTGCCTGCATGTATGGTGCCGAGGTTCCACACTTCTCTGTGATGTAAAGAACAAAAGACATGTTGAGCTGGGAGCACTGTACTAGAGAAAATTTAATTTATTTGATCCATTAAAAAAAAGGTGTGTGTGTCATTGCCCTGCATGTGGGCTGGCTGCCCCACAGTGATACCGAAACTCACACACACACACACACACACACACACACACATTTGTACACACATTAAAAGGTTGATCACTGATCAACCTTTTAATGTGTGTACAAATTATCTTCTCTGATCAATGATCAGAGAAGATAATTTGGGAGCTGGATGACTCATGAGTTATGCATTTAAAAAAACAATCCTGACAGACAAGTTGTTGTTACCTGTTGGTAGCTGACTTTCTCATTTTCCTTAGAAAATGTAATTCTGAGGAAACTTGACTTGTTTTGTCTTGAAGACGTTTTGTTCTCTCATCCAAGACAATTTATTAGTTCAGGAGTGATTCAGAGAATTCGCCAGAAGTGAGACATCTTGAAGGCCAAATACCAAACTCATCGGACCAGAATGCAACCTCAAATAGGATACAAACCCATTTATATTGAGTTAATAGTTGGCTGCTGTGTGTCAAGGTTAACTGCACCCGGCGGTGTCAGGGGGAAACGTGGTGGGACAAGAACGAAAGTTATGGTGGCAAAAGTCCAATTAGGGCAGGCGGAAGGGGTGGTGGATGGGTCCGACAAACCTCCGACTTTCAAGATTATAAAGCCAAACCCTGTTCTTTTTTCTGAAACCTGACGACTTGCATTAGTTGTTGAAGGAAAAAAAAAAGTCAGTTTGCGGTGTTGTGCCGACATAGGGCATTTATTTTGAAAGTGCAAACTGTGCATTTCCTCTGAAAACAGAAGTGTATTTTAAAAGAAGACAATTTATGTAACAGGCTGAAGTTGACTCTGCATCCCAGAACATCAATAACCAACGCATCCAGGGTCCCTTGCACATCGTATCTGTACGTGCAAAGGCCATGACTAAACATCAATATGTGACGAGGTTGGAGTGAGAACGTGTTGATTTCATTGAGCTGTGTGCACTGAAAGTGAATGTCAGCACTACCTTTTGAGATTAAGTTCAGTCGGACTTGTTTCAACAAACTAATGTTTAAAAACAGAAATATAAATTTTAAAAGGCATTCATGATTTTTGTAAATGTAACTGCACCGGTCCAATAAATAATGGCCACGCATCATACAGATGTCTTTTTCTGATTTATTGCCGCCTTTCCTTCATCAGACACCGTGAAAACTACAAAAAATAAAACATATAAAAATCAATGAGTCAAAATATACATCTGTCAGTCATTTTACAGTCTCTTTAGCAAGTGTCTATAATTAGACAGGCCCAAACAATTAAGTGTATCATGCTAACATCTGTTAATAGACAGATCCCAGTCCGTGAACACAGCAACAGAAAATATCAAAAGTATAAAGGCATTTCAACAATATTATGCACAAATATGACACAATTGTGCGCCTCTTGAACCATGCAGAATGNCTGATTTATTGCCGCCTTTCCTTCATCAGACACCGTGAAAACTACAAAAAATAAAACATATAAAAATCAATGAGTCAAAATATACATCTGTCAGTCATTTTACAGTCTCTTTAGCAAGTGTCTATAATTAGACAGGCCCAAACAATTAAGTGTATCATGCTAACATCTGTTAATAGACAGATCCCAGTCCGTGAACACAGCAACAGAAAACATCAAAAGTATAAAGGCATTTCAACAATATTATGCACAAATATGACACAGTTAAAGGTACATCACCGTGTGCGCCTCTTGAACCATGCAGAATAATGTTAATTTAGGCCGTAGCACTCTGTTCCTCTGCAGCCACACTTGGCTCTTTTCTCTGCAGGCATGTTGTCTCTTTCTCTGCTGCCTATTGTTTCCTGACCCATGATGCATCAGGTGTGCCCCTCACAAAACTCTGTTCATTTGCCCGTGACATTCAACTTCAAAATGAAACTTGCATTCAAAGGCACTGGATTTTTAACCAAACATTATTTTTAAGGTAGTGTATTTTAGTCCAGTTTTCAATTAAAGTTACCCTTTTTAAACAACTTATTTATTACATTTTAACACATTTTAATGACTGTATGAATTCAAACATTGATTAATTTTTACTGAAAATATAAAAGAAACACTCCAATGAAATCTCTGCAAAACTGTCCCTCAGACAGTTACAGTAAATTTCACACATTATTACTCTGTTGTTGAAACTGAATTGCATTTGGTGAAGGTTGGAGGTATGAGGTTTTATTGACACTTTATGGATCCAGTGAAGTTAAAGGATTTAGTCACAAGCTCTTCTTTATACTTTTCATTGGTTAAATATTAAATATTTAAACTGATGGTTTGTTTTGCTTTTTTATCTGTAGTTTAGAAATGTTACGGCAATTCACAATAATACTGTAAGTTTGGGTCCCAGGGAGACACTAAATTTCTCTTTGGGGTCTTAAGATAAAAAAGTTTGGGACCCTGCATTTGACTGATGATTAAAAAAATAAAACTATTTCGTTAATTACTGAGATTCTTATTTTGAATGCACTCTGAAGAAAGACATTTGGAAACAGTTTCTGCAGCAGCTGCAGCAGTGGCGAATTACGTGTCAAGTTTTATCGTTCCAGTTCATTCAAATATTGTACAGAAATGACATGAAAACAAAGGGGAAGAGAGGCAAATCTTATAAAAAAAATAATACGTCCTTTGGATAGAATTGGTAAAGAATTTGTGAGGGGAATGCAAATTCACTGCCTGTTCTTTCCTACTAGAAACCCTTAAAGGGATAGTTCGCCATTTTGAAAATTCGCCTATTGCCAATGGTCATATGAGTAGGTACATTACCTTTAATTGTCAGTGCCTGCTGTTCTGAGATCGGTGAGACAGAGCTGAAATGGAGGTGAACGGTACAGCCCCCTCTCTCCCTCAGAACTAATCAAATACACCATCAAATGACTCCATAATGCTCTAGTGGACAACACATGGCTTGCGCATTCCCCACGCTATGAAATAATAATGTATAATTAAGTAACATTACGACACATGAAGCAAATACTCGGAACTACTTTCTTGAGTAAACCACTGGGCGGAGTGACACAGTGCGCACCTGAGACAGTGCTGTAGTTATTGCTTGCAGCCTTGCATTTGCGGTATCGTCAGCTGGACACACCAGAAAGTTTGAGAAAAGTTTACAGAGTGTTGTTGTAAATCATGGTTTACACATGTATTGTAAAAGGTTGCAGTAACAAGCCGAAGACATGGAGCAGAGTGAAGTTTCACGTAGTACCAACCAAAAATACGGACAGGATGAAACAATGGCTATTTGTGCTGGACATCGACCCTAACACGCCTGTGGAAACGGTCCGGAAAATGTTTGTTTGCTCCAACCATTTTTTACTGGAGGACTACGCTGAAAGGATGGAGCACAGAAGCTCAGGAATGGTTCAAACTCCTTTCTTGAGAGACACTGCCATACCTTCTGTCGGCATCACAACACGAGCACACGTGGTAAGTGATCGTTGTGTATTTTGCTCAGCAATCACTCTGCTGTAACGTTACCTCAATGTTGAGTAACATTAGCCTACAACCCAAGCATGGTAAATAAGGCTAAAATGCAAATGTTGTTGTGGTTATGTTATGGATAAGTGCTTGCCCAGAGCATATAGTGAAGTGACTGGCATTACTTCTCATTGTTGGGAATAAACAGACTGCTAAGGAACATTTTATGTTGTTGTTCCTTCAGGAGTTGTGGTGATTTGTGAGTGTGGAGTTAGCATGTTCTCCCCGTGTTCCGGTGATTATTTTGCGGCGTACTCTCGTCCCATCCCACCATCAACATATGTATGTAACATACAGTCACTGGCCACTTTGTTAGGTACACCTGTGTAATTTAATGCAATCAAGTAGAACGGCTTCCGGTGCTGACACGCAGACACACCGATGCCAAACAACGCTGATAATAGAAGTTAAAATAAGGAGTTTAAAGGACTTTATTCGAAGTATATACTCCACCTACACTGAGAAATTGACTCAAGGGTGCTTTATCTCCCGGAAGCGATCCTGGAGAGGTAAGAAGAAAAGTTGAAATTGTCTGGAATGTCTCATCCATAGGCAAACAAATCAGCAAACAGCTGAGTTGAATGTCGGTGGTTTACGGAGCAAGATCAATACAACTGCTGAAATGGCGAATGCGCAGCTACTGGAAGAGTTACAAAAAGTAAACTGCAAAATTGACGACCTGAAGATAAGCTTTGACAAGAGGCTTAATAGTAAGGTCGACAGTCTGGAGAAATCACTGGACAAGATGCTGACGGAAAACCAGAAGCTGTTAATGGTGGAAATGGAGAGATGCCGGAAAGAAATGAAAGAGGGACTGGACTTGGAGACTGGTCGCCTGCAAGCGCGCATGGAGGCACTGGAGCTGAAGATACCAGGGGGGAAACATCCACCGCGATTTGAGTCTGCAGTGTCTCTCATAGTTTATGGCCTGCGCCAAGAAATCAACGAGAACATATTGGAGAAAATTAATCTGATGTTCTCCAAGGGTCTTGGCAGTGACATCCGGGCAAAGGAGGCGGAGAGGATGAAGAAAAGAGGAGACGCGCCTGCTGCTGTTAGGGTGGAATGTAAATCAGCAGAGGACAAAGTTGCAATCCTGAGCCCGAAGCAAAAATTGAGAGAGCAATCACCCTATGAAAGGGTATATGTGAAGTCTGCCAAATCCCACACCGAGCACCTGATTGAAATAAACTTTAAAACCATCTTGAAAGAACTGCCGCAAGGAAAGGATTACTTCGTAACGGGGAACGGCAGGCTCGTAAAGAGAGATGATGACGCATCAGCGGGAAGGAGGAGAGGGGGAGAGAGGAGATCCCAGAGTCAGAGGGGGGGCTATTGAAGGCCCCCGGAGTTGGCGAGTACTAAACAGTTACGTGACACAATTCACTTGTACATTGGAACGTAAATGGGTGGACAGTCAATAATTATGAACTTAGAGCAGCTATCTTACAGTTATTAGATGCAGATATTATTTCTCTGAATGAAACCCACCTGCGAGGAGATGACATTATTGACATGGACGGATATGTATGGTTTGGAAATAATAGAATAACACATGTGAGAGCTCCCAGAGCGTCGGGTAGAGTGGGGATTTTTGTAAGATCATCATTATTTTCTGAATATAAAATTGAAATAATTGACAAATCTTTGGATGGCATTATTGGTCTGTCTTTTGAACATAGGACATCTGAATACTGTTTTGCTATTTTTTCATGTTACTTACCTCCAGAATTATCCCCTTGGGGTAGAGATGCATTCTTATTTTTTTGTCATTTGTTAAGTCAAGTTTATTTATACACAGAAATGGATGCTATCTATGTTTGTGGAGACTTGAATGCTCGAATAGGAGGTCTAAATGATTTCATTCCTGATATTGATAGCATTCCACCACGAATCGCTCTGGATGATTATGTGAATAAGCATGGTGAATCATTGCTTGAATTTTTAAGGGACTCTAAAATGTGTTTGATCAATGGTAGAATCTAAACATTGGATGATAACTTTACATCAGTATCCACAAAGGGTAAGGCAATTGTTGATTATATAATTACCCCTTTTGACTGTTTGGAAAATTGTTTCGAGTTTAAAGTTTTAATGGCAGCTGAATTGGCTGAAAATGCTGCATGTTTTGATTTATTTATTTATTTATTTAGGAGACTGTTGCCATTTGCCAGATCACTCTCTGTTGTTTATGAAGTTTTATGTTGACCTTGTAAAGCTAGATCCTGAAAATAGCTCTTCACATATGCAACCTACTCAAAAAAGGATTAGGAGAAATGTGCCTGAGGCCTTTCTAAACTCCAACATGGCTCATGCAGCAATGGAGAAATTGATTAGTAAACTAGAAGTTGCTGCCCAAAAGCAGGATGAATTGGATAAATGGTACGATGAATTATGCAAACTGATCCACACAGAATTAGGGAGCAGGAATAAAAGCAAAATAGATAGACCACTCAAACCATATAGGTCACATAAGCCATATTGGAATCAAGAACTAGGGGCTTTGTGGTCTGAGATGCGCAAAGCTGAACAGTTGTATTTACATTCTGAAAGTAGATGCCATAGAAAACAGTGCAGAATTGTATTTAAAGGTAAACAACATGCATTCGATAAGAAGCTTAGACTGTATAAAAGGAGGTACCAAAGAGGCTTATCATTAAATCTAGAATACATTCAATCTAACAACCCTCAATGTTTCTGGAGTAAGATTAATGAATTAGGTCCCAAACGTCACAGGAGAATTCCTATGGAAATATGGCAAGGCCAAGAATTGTTCTCTGATAGGGAAAAGGTGCTTGGGGAATGGGAGAAGGGATTTTCTGGTCTGTTCTCAGGAAATGATATAGGTTTTGATGAGGAATTTTATGCTGAGACGTGCACAAAAAACAGAGTTGGAGGGCCAACATATCAAGAGTAATAATGATTTGAATAGAGAGGTGACTAGGGAGGAGGTCCAGCAAACAAATGACATGGCTAAGAGAGGAAAAGCCTTTGGTATTGATGAATTATATAATGAAGTGTTGAAATCTCCCAAATTATTTGAGGTCCTGTATGGTTTGTTTAAATTTTGCTTGATTGTAGTATTTTTTTAGTATTTTGCCTTCCACCTGGCTTAAATCCATTATAAATCCCATCCCCAAGTCTATAAAAGATGACCCAAGGATGCCATTAAACTACAGGGGTATCAGTTTACTTAGCAAGGTTTATAAAATGTATTCCTCACTTTTAAATCGTAGGCTGATGGCATTCTTGGAACATAAACAACTGTTAGAAGACGAGCAAAACGGTTTTCGCAGGGCAAGAGCATGTATAGATCACATACACACAGTGTGTACTGTAATAAGAAATAGAATTCGGGAAAATAGATCAACTTTTTCATGTTTTATTGACTTTAAAAAGGCTTTTGATTTGGTTAATAGAGATCTTCTGGCATTCAAGCTCCTTAAAACAGGAATTAACGGAAAATTTTATTCTGCCATTCAGTCTATCTATAAGGCACCGGTGGCCTGTGTTAAGTTAAATGAATTTTATACAGAGTGATTCCCTACTCCCCTAGGAGTGAAGCAGGGGGATTCTTTATCCCCAACTCTATTTGCCATCTTTATTAATGATCTAGCGAAAGAAATAAAACAGCTGGAGTTGGGAATAACATGTGGGGAAGTGAAACTGAGCACCCTGCTTTATGCAGATGATTTAATATTGATGGCAGAAAATGAAATAGATTTGCAAAAAATGTTAACATGTGCTGAAAAATGATGCAAAAGATGGAGCCTATCTATCAATCCAAAAAAGACAGAGATTAAGGAGTTTAGAAAAGCTGGTTGGAAAAGAAGTGAATTTCAATTATGTTTTGGTGATAATAAACTCGAATATACTGATAAGTACAAATATTTGGGCCTTTTCCTGGATGAACATATGTCATTTCTACATGGGACATCAGTGTTAGCAGACTCTGCCAGCAGAGCCTTAGGAGGTATCATTGGGAAAACTAAGACTTTAAGAAATATGGGTTATGCTACATATAGCCAATTGTATCAAGCATGTGTTTGTCCTATTTTGGACTACTCCTCTGGAGTGTGGGGGTTTAGACACTATAATAAAAGTGTAAGTGTGCATAATAGGGCACAAAGATACTTTCTAGGTGTCCATAAATTTGCCCCTTCATCTGCCGTTAATGGTGACATGGGATGGGTACCGTGTGAGGTTAGGTGGAAGGTAAATATGATAAACTTATGGAATAGAATGCTTGAGCTACCGGATGACAGAATGGCGAAGAAGATTTTCATGTGGGATCTCTCAGTGGAAGGAGAATGGGCGTCTGAGATGTATGATCTGCTTCAGGAGCATGGGCTTCAACATCTCTATAGCCACAGACAGAGAGTGGATGTGGGGATGTTTAAAGAATTTGCTATGACAAAATACAAAAGTAACTGGCTGGATGAAATTAATCATAAACCAAAATTACGCATATATTGTTTGTTTAAAGAAGTGTATGCTTGTGAAAGATATATTATGTATGATTTATCTAAAAGCCAAAGATCTCTGTGTGCTCAGTTTCGCTTTGGGATATTACCGCTACATATTGAGACAGGACGCTACATTGGAACTGAGGAAGATCAAAGATTATGTAACTACTGTGAGCTCGGTGAAGAAGAGAATGAAACTCACTTCCTACTGTACTGTCCATTTTATGATGACCTAAGAGAAACACTCTTTGACAAAGTGTCAACACATGTAGGTCTGTCCCAGGATAACCAAATAATTAAATGGTTATTTGATAATCATATATTTGCAATATCTAAATATATCCACAAAGCATGGAATAGAAGAAAACAGGCAACTTATGCACACAGATAGATCGTGGCTCTAAAGATTGTCCTTTTTATTTTATTTTATTTTATTTTGTTTTATTTACTTTTGTTGATCTTCATTCACGGCTTGTGTATATGTCATGTTCACTATGTTATGTTGGCGTGATGGCACTGGAAAGTGTTTTGTTTAAAATGTGTCTGAATAATCCCATGAGGGATGGGCTGCCTTGGGGCAGCCAGACACAAAAATAAAAATTCATTCATTCATTCATTCATTCATTCATTCATTCATATACCATGATTTTTTCCCCGAAGCTTATAAATTTTCGGTTATTGTTGACATCCACCAGAAAGTCCACCATGATCTTCTTCTCAACAAACTTGTTGTTTTGATGACGGGAGTAACTGCACTAAACATACACTGAAATCACTCCGCCCAGCAAGTACTGTATGTCTGGAATGTAGTTTCGGCTGTGCATTTGGCTTCACAACAACTCTGTCTCATAATATTACATTATTATTTCATAGCCTGGTGAATGTGTAAGCTACAAGTTGTCTACAAGAGTGTTTTGGAGTCATTCATTCTCGGAACCCATCGGCTGTATTCAGCGTCTGACTTCCGGCAGATGGCGATACAGCCTCTGGGGGCAGACCCCCGATTTTTTGGCATTCCGGTTTGAAAGTAAATATGCTGAACCATTGTGATGTATTCAGAGATTGCAGTGACGCCAATTATGTTCCGCCTCGTTAGTTCACTGCACGGACCATTTAACCTGGCAACAGCTGCAGCCAGTTGGTCAATAACACGTGGACTACAAACAGCCTACAACCAGAAACCAGGGCTCTTCCGCTCTTCTTCCGGAGGCAAGATCTCCGGGGTTTGCCTACAGACTCTACATTCACTGAATGTAGAGTCTGTATAGAGACTAGGAGTCATTTGATGGTGTATTTGATTAGTTTTGAGGGAGAGAGGGGGCTGTACCGTTCACCTCCATTTTGTGCCCTGAGCAGTGGGCAGCTCTGCCCCACCCATCTCAGAACAACAGGCACTGATGATTAAAGGTAATGTACCTACACATACAACTATAGGGATTACGGCAATAGGCGAACTTGCCAAAAAGTCAAAGTGTCCCTTTAAGTTCCTAATAGTGAACAGGCATATTTGAGGTCTTTGTATCTTTGTACATAAGAGCTACTAGTTTTCCCTAAGATATATTCTTTTCATATTTTGCACTTTAGAACATGATCATTCAAAGTGCATAATATGTGCGTAATTAGTGAGTAATATGGTTGATACTAACTGAGTTTGTCCAGAACAGGAATGAGAGCGCTCCATGTCTGCAGGTACTCAGCCCGAAGTCCATCCAAAGAGACGAGGAGCAGAGGCTGGCGTTTAAAGCTGTGATGGTGAGAAAAAAAAGATTCCATCAGGAGGAGGGGATTAGATTACAGACAAAAACATACAGTGAGGAAAAACAGAGTACAGCTGCTGACGCTGGACAGAAACAGGAGGTTTCAGGAGCTGACTGTTGATCATTTTTCACTGTAGGAAAGGGATTATGTGACAAAAACAAAAAATTGCACATTCAGTTTCACTCATTTATTATCATAAAGGGTAAACCAGCAGCACATTGCGGTAAGTACTGAAATCTGGAGACATTTCCTTAAAAAAGAAAATTGCTGTAAAAAATATTTTTAAAATTCTGAGACAGCTATTTGGTTGGCTGTAAGCAGGAGTGGACAGGGACAAAAAGTTGGCCCCCACTAACCAGCCACAATCGATCACACAAATATAACTCATAACAACTGTCAAAACAATGCATTAAAAAAATAACACCAATTAATCATGGTCCTCGGTGGCCTTTGACCCGGTGTGTCATTGAATGCCACAGTGACTTTGTCATATAATGGAGGCAGACGAGAGGACACTGCTTGGACCCATGGCTGGAACAATTACATTGAAAAAATGGCCAGATGGAACTGTTGATAGGAGCACCATTCTCTGCAGTTACTGCAGTAAGGACTTTTCATACCATAGGAGTACTGCAAGCCTGAAATATCACCTCAACGCAAAGCATTTGGCAGCAAACCCAGAGGTCCAAGCTAGCATAGCCTCTCATGTTAGCGCTAGCTGTCAGCCTCGTCAAGCCACGCTCAACCAGGCATTCAGATGCAAACTGAGTAAGTGTGTCTATGACCAACTTACTAACTCCGTTACAAAATGGACTGCAGACCAGTTTGGGTAGTCAAGGACAGGGGGACAACTGTGACCAAAAATTCAGCAGCTTTAATATGATACATCTGCCAAAATTAATTTGAATTGAAATTTTTTAAATCCTTTCACAGCAGAAGTTGATGTATGTGATTAATTTAGATTAATTAATCACAGAATATGTAATTAATTAGATAGATAATTTTAATCACTTCACAGCCATATAAATCATATTATATAATAGGCACAGGCATGACAACATCTATGTTACAAAGACTATGCCCAAAAGCTCAAAGGCTTACGATAAAATTACCTGCTGATGCCAATTTGTGTAATGATAGTAACTCTCCTGCATGCCTGCTCACAGCAACAGAGAAGAGAGAGGAGAGACTGAGATACTCGGCACGTCAGCCCACAGGAAGTCAGTGTGCCTGATGGCCAGCCCACCCCTGCCCGTGAGCTTGTAAATGTCCAGCCTGGTCACCAGTAGAAATGATGGCATTGTGCGTTTCTGTAAACCACTAATACGTTCCATTTGCACGTTTCATACGTGTCATACCAGCATTTCTAAAGTGGTGTATGGTGTGACACTTAGGCAAGACGTGATGCTAAGCTGCAGACCACTGCTGGAGACCAACAGGCAACCAAACTGGTTGTTTTTTGACGAGACATTGCTGCATTTCCACCAAGGATTGTGACACCAAAACTGCATATTTCAAGCCAAAACACGATCTTTTCCAAACCATAACCAAGTAGTTTTTGTGCCTAAACCCAAGTACATGTTAACTATAGCACTGTTGAAACATATAGTTTTAAGGTATCCATTATATAATAAAAGTTATCTGTGGTTTGCAGAAATGTACAATGCTAACATTTATTCTGGCTATTTGGTTGGAGTGCCTCTACGGAAGAAACAAGGACACAAATGTGTTCTTGTGAGTTTAACTATATTCTGTGACTGTGAAAACATGCCAGTTATGAACAAGCAGATTGACTGGCCTCCAGTATTGCATAATGCACTACCAATAAATATGTCCCGCAGATCTCAAGAGCTGGCACTGGACACTGCACTGCTTTGGGTTCTCAGCAACACACCCACCAAGTGTGAGAATGATTGTCAAGAAAGTGAAAGGAAAAGAGACGCCCTCCATTTTAGTTAGATAAATGGAAGCTGATTACTCGAGGCAAGAAAAACTACTCAATGTGCAAATTCTGGTCCTTCAATCAATATCACTTGGCAGTCAGTTATTGCATTTATTCTTGTCATGCCAAGAAAAATAAATGTTATAAAACAATATCCTTTCAGTTATAGGGCTCTATACAAAATTCCAGCCCCTTCTCGTTCAAAAGTTGTCAAATACTGTCACTTTGTCAGTGATTTCAGAGACACATACCATCGCCAACAGTCACCTTTCGTGGTGGTATGAAACACCATTGATGCCAAATGTAATGCGATGGATGGGGCTTTTAATTGTGTTAGGACAGGCCACCAGTCGGCAGGATGGCACCTGTTGCAGCAGTATGATATGCTGCTGGACGGCGTCAGGTTTAAACACTGCATGTGACAACACAATTATAAGGAGCTGGAAAATCTATAGTAGGGGTGGGCGATATGGCCCTAAAATAATATCACAATATTTCAGGATAGTTTTGCAATAATGATATTTGTGAGGATATGACAAAATTAGTTAAAAAGGTATTATTAATTAAAGAACATAGAATTGCAAGAAAATATAGTGATATAGTTTTACAGTTTGCCTTCAAATATTCAGTAAAAACTAAAGAAATGATCTCTCATTTCTTTAGTTTGTAAACAACAGCAGTAACTCAGAGTGAGGTCCAGATTGTGTATATTAATAGTACAACCAGAGCTGGGTAAGGGTTACTTTAATAGTGATCAAAGTACTTTACTGCGTTACTTTTTTGAAAAGTAACCAGTTACTTTACTGCGTTACTCCCTGAGTAAAGTAACTCAAGTACTTTCACAGTACTTCCAACGTTACTCCCTGAGTAAAGTAACTCAAGTACTTTTAAAGTACTTCTGAGTATTCTACATTTCCTATTGGGCAATGGACCACAGGGCGCTAAGCCAACATTTTTTGTCTCCAAAATTAAAGTTATGGACCACTTGACCTTCACTGAGATCCAATTCTCCCATCACAGCCGTCACTTTGACCAGTAGAAACACAGAACGACCTGCTGCCGTAGACAACTGTAGCTATGACAACAACACCGCAGCGTTTTTAATATTTCAGGCACTTTGTCAACCAGTGAGTACTGTCATTAGCATCAAGCTAGCAAACAATGTTACGTCCTCATAATGTAGACGGACATAAAGTACTAACATTAACAAATTGTGGCGGGGCTTTTACTCACCACGACTGCAGAGGCTCCCAGCTTCATTTGAAACAGACTACATTATAGATGGTCCGTTATTTATTAATCCCTCTGTGTGTTTATATATTTACTTTTTATCCGCTCCCGTTGTCTTTATAAAGTTAATGCATCGCGCCGTCATTTTAAACTCAACACTTCCTGAACTTGTTTCAAATTAAATGCCCCTTATAACCTCGGCTGAGAGAATCCCCCCATTTCCTAAATAGGCTTTTATTGTGAAACATTTGTAGGAACTTGTGGCGGATGCAGTAGCTTGAATGTTTGCGTACGGTACTTCAAATGTAGCTCCTGCCACCTGCTGACGCTTTTAGGTGACTACAACAACATGTCGGCTGGCACATGAACAGACACAGTTCTGACTCAAATAATAGTGGAAGTAATAAAAATAGGACAAGAATAACCCGATGACATCACACACGTCTGAAAGACGACCGGGGATAATTGGTGAGTATCATCGTGTAGTGTGTCATGTCTGTCGGCCAAGTCACGGCACAATTTTATAACTTCACAATCGTGTAATGTGACATAGTGACTTTCAGAACGGGCAGAAAAGTCGTGTAGCATGTACCAGGCATAATGCAAGTCCTGAGTCTGACCTGTCTGTCAGCGAGTCCTCCTCCATTTATTGAGTCGTGGGGATTTTACTGACGATCCTGAGGAATGTTTTAGACTCCACCGTAGACAATGGCAGCATTTCTTCTACCACGTAGCGAGCCACAAGCTTCGTGGCTTCTTTCAGACTGATTTAACGTTATCTCCATTATTAGAACCAAAAGACAGTCGTTGCTGTTTCGGAGCTGAAGGACCAGCTTTCTAAAAGTAACGGAAGTAACTGATGTCTTGTTTGAAAATGTACTTAAGTATTTGATTACTCAAACAGCAAACTAACGCATTAGGTTACTCGTTACTGCAAAAAGTTATCAAAGTACTTTGTAACACGTTATACCCAACTCTGAGTACAACTAAATAAAATTTACCACAAATTACACATTTAAACAGTTTTCACATACAAAATATGTACCCTGGGAAATATATATATAAATCAACAGATGATTTCCTTCTCTTTCAGTAAAATCCTAAATGATTGTGCTGTTATTTTTTTCCCACTGGACCTTTATGCTCTGCCATTTCTCCTCTAATAATCACACTGTCACCTGTGACAGGCTGTTATGCTACTGTAGCTATTGCAGATTACAAATTGCACACACATATATTACATTACCAAAGGTTTGTGACAAAATCATGTGATGACACACACTCCTGAGTTTTCTCTGAGTCGCTTAAAGAGTCTGAGAATTAAAACATTCAGGGTGCCACAGTTTATTCCAAACAATTGAACCCCGCTCCTCTGTTTGGAACCATGGTAATAATTTCACTTTTAACCATGCTTGTTGTTGACATGGATAACAGTTTGACACCAATATGCCGACAAGTTGAAATATCGCAAGTATCTCGATTTAAATTTTTCATATCATATTAAAAATTATATCAGTATTATTGTAAACTATATGATATGGCACATCCCTACTCTGTAGGGCAGGTGGGAGGGGTGGTGGATGGGTCCAACAAACCCCAGACACTCTTATTATATGAATGTAGAGCCAACTGATGACATTTATTTCTAAACCTAACCACGTGGTTTTGTTGATGTCCCAGCGTTGGTTGTGGCATCCCTGAAAGTCAACAGCAGACGCAGGAGGATACCTAGTGTATAATATGAAGACGTGAACGTCCACTGACAAAGCGGTGATATGTGATGACTTAGAATGAGAACTATTGAAAATTCAGAGCTTAAGAGTTGTCTGCACAGCACACGGTTCTCAATATGGAGATGGCTGAGCCGGTGGCTAGCAGCTAACGGTGCTAATTCCACAAACAGTACAAACAACAGCAACACTGCTGAAAGAGCTAACTGTGTTAACCTGGGGGAAAAAAGAGGGTGAGCGCAACATTTTCATAATGATGCCGTCCTGTTATCAGTAATAACCACCATATGAGCGCAGTTCAAAGCAGCAAGCGATGAGCCAGCTAGTGGTAAACACACATACACTAACAGGCACCTGCAGTCAGTGCTGGACTGGCCATCGGGCATACTGGGCATTTGCCCGGTGGGCCAATGGTAATTTTGGGCCGGGCCTTTTTCTTTTTTTTTTTTTTTTTCTTAGTCATGTCATGATACCTATTGGTACACAAAACTGGTAGATCGGCCCATTAGTCACGATCGACAAAATTGAGAAGAAACTCAAAGGAGGTGCGGGAAAAATAAGAGAGAAAAAGAGACAAGCCCTTTAGGAAGATGCTGCCAAATGTGTTAAAATAACACAGATGTTTGCTGGCTATGGCGGAGCTTCTTCAGTGGCAGCATCAGTGACCGCACCCGCACTGGCATCCAAAGCAGCCGCAGCAGGTAATGAGGTGAAGGGGAGGCAGGAGGAGGAGACCCGCGGCCGCCGCATTATATGACGACGGCACAGGCGGTGCGACTGGAGGGGAATTTGAACTTCAGGTAAGAAGTGATGAACAGCAGTCTACCTGGGTCAGATATGAATCAAGTTTGGTTGATAGTTTATTTTCGTTGTGCTTGCTAACTCTTAACACAGCATAGTTATGAGTAGGCCATTTAACAATTTAGCTGGCTGTTGAGCAGCATGACGGGGTTTCTCTACTGCTGGGCTGTTTCTATGATGTTATACTAGTGATGGTGATCTTAGTGCTTCAGTAACTTTATTTTATTCATTTAGTTAGTTAAGTATAGTCTTTATTAGTTAGGTAGTAAAATATTTCAATGTCTATTAATTGATATAAGTGCACTATGCAGTAATTCTTTACTCTGAAACAGCTAAAGCTCAACAGAGCAAAAATGTTCATGTAAAACCAAATGATTAGGCTAGTATTCATCATAAACCCACTTGCAAATATAATTTAGATTGAATCAAATTAGGATTTGCCAGAAGATGTGATGCTGCTCATTAACATAAAAGTGGCTTTGAGTTAAAAATAACTACTTAAATGTATTTGTCTTTTATACATAAATATCCTCTTTATTCTAGATAAGTTGTGTTTTTATCTTATTGTTTTTTTTACTGACATGTAACAGCAAACTCTTGTGGACAATAATTACCTGTATTTTGTTTTTATTGTGGGCATGTTTCCATTCAATTTAAAATATCCCTTCACTTTTTAAAGGTTGCCATGTTTGAGGAAGTATTATGTGTTGCTGTGCTGTTTATTGATGTGGTGAGTACATAGTCTATGAAAATATTACTAAATCTGTCATTTATTCATTTTAATATTCATCAATGATCATGTCTCACCTCTGTTCCTCAGTGTCCAATTTTCAGGATCCCATCATACGTTCATTGTTCAGGAGGTTCACTAGACCAAGCAGCCTTTTGGATTCCTCTAAGTAAGTACTGTATAGAATAATGGGACTGGGAGGATGGTGTAGTTTTAAATTTATTAGACAAGTACATATACACCAACAAGACAGTGTACAAGCGGTGTCACAAGAAAGTTTGTTTTCATTCATAGACTTCATTGTCTTTCCATCAATACCTGGTGGGCCGGGCTAGGCTCAAAATGCCCGGGCCGATTTTTTGTCCCAGTCCAGCCCTGCCTGCAGTCACACTAGCATACCACAACAAACCACAGAGACGCTTGAATTACAACACACAGAGATGGAGCTTAACCTTATTCTCTGCTTAGAATGCCATTACTCCACTATGTCCTTACATAGCAAATAGTGGCTATATTAATTCTGTGACGCATACAGAACTGGTTATGTGATAATGATAACTTGAATGTGCTCTCACCAGAGCAGTAATCTTGATTTCTGATGATTAATCTTTCACATTAATTATATATTCTTACCCTGGTGGACATGTGGGGGTCAACAGGTCATCACACTGGTCCTCCACCCACTCTTTCTCTCCTACAACAGGGTGGAAAAAACACAGAGCATTTAAATAGTCACATTAACAGTCACATTACATTTCAGAATCTAAGCATTATTAAATCAAAGCAACCCCTGTTGGTTAAATAGATGTATACTGACAATCAAACACTTTTGAACTGGTGTCTCTTCCAATTTTGTATTCAATTGTATTTGGAGAATGTGTAAGGAGAACTCAGACAGGTTTCAGACAATATCTTTACCTCACACATAAACACAACACTTAAGATAATGAGGTGTTTGACCAACACCAGCAGCAGCAGCAGCAGCAGCAGCTGTGAAATGTTGTTTAGCAGCCAGACTGTAATCTCTCAAGACAGATTCTGCAATTTACATTGTAGAAAGGAAGAAAAAAAAATCCTTTATTTTTTTAATTTTTATTTTTTTTTAACCGATGGATTTCCAGATTGGCCAGACTGCAATAAGCTATATTTAAAAAAAAAAAAAAAAAGCATCAGAAATGACTCGGGCTGTAAAGATACCAGTGAAAATATCACTTACTGAGCCCCATCCTGCTTGATAGACCTCTTTAAAGTATAAGCTGTGGTTTATAGTCAAAAGAGGCACTTAGGCAGAAAGGAAGTATGTTTAAATCACTGTTGAAAACAGTTAACATCGGCACATCCTTTTGTCTCTTTTTATAGCTTGAGAGGCTGCTCTCAACAGATATAAACATTTAAAAAGTCAAAAGTGTTTAATCATTCCCCTGGATAACCAATATGTTGCATGCTGGAGTTTACATAACACCAATATTATTCTTTAAAAGTTTCTTTAACAGCTTTTTATCTCACCTAGCCTTGACGTATCTTCATCTATCGTTTTTCATGTAATTTCCCACCCTCTGTTTTAATCCTCACCATGGCAGACATGTTTGTAGTTTGTGCAGCAGTCTCCTGCAGACAAGCAGTTGTCAGAGCAGTGACATTTGCTCTGCGTCAGCCTCTTCTCTCCACAGCGCAGCTTCGTGCACTCCCACTGCTCAGCTGAAGAGAACAATTACAAAGTTAGTGTGCTGCACCCTGTTCCATTCAACCAAAGGTAGAATCATTTTTGGAGCATCAGATAACCCAGCTATTACTGGAGATGTTCATTGTTACACAAACAAAATTAAATGTCAAAAATCAGTTTCTCACCGGGCACAGTGCAGATGTCGTAGTAATCATAACAGCAGCTGTTGCTGGCTTCACAGTTCATGTCACATCTACAGCCGGGGCTCTCATCATTGTACGGCTCATAACATCGATTCCTACAGGATGTATGGGGGACGACTGCGACAGAAAGACAGGACGACACTTTTTTTTACATTTTTATCAGTGGTTTTGGCAGGGGTCTTAAAAGTCACACACATGCGAGTGATGGTCACAGGTGAAAATTTTGCACTAGTTTTTCAACAGTGTTGGGTAAGGGTTACTTTAAAAGTAATCAAAGTATGTTACTGCGTTACTTCTTTTTTTTAAAAAAAAAGTAACCAGTTACTTTACTGTGTTACTCCCTGAGCAAAGTAACTCAAGTACTTTTAAGTATTCTACATTTCCTATTGGGCAATGGACCACAGGGCGCTAAGCCTACATTTTTTTGCCTTTTTGTCTCCAAAATTAAAGTTATGAACCACTTGCCCTTCACTGAGATCCAATTCTCCCATCACAGCCGTCACTTTGACCAGTAGAAACACAGAACGATCTGCTGCTGTAGTCAACTGTATGACAACAACACCCCAGCATTTTTAATATTTCCTCTAGGGATGTTACCACACAGAGTAAAAGGGGGAAATGATGGTGTGAAACAGCAGAGGCACTTTGTCAACCCGCTGAGTTAACGTTACTGTCATTAGCATCAAGCTAGCAAACAATGGTACATCCTCACGGTCGGACATAAAGTAATAACATTAACAAATAGCGGCGGGGCTTTTACTCACCACAACTGCAGAGGCTCCCAGCTTCATTTGAAACAGACTACATTATAGATGGTCCGTTATTTATTAATCCCTCTGTGTGTTTATATATTTACTTTTTATCCGCTCCGTTGTCTTTATAAAGTTAACACATCGCACCGTCATTTCAAACTCAACACTTGTTTCAAATTAAAAGCCTCTTATAACCTCGCCTGAGAGAATCCCTTCATTTTCTAAATAGGCTTTTATTCTGAAACATTTGTCAGAACTTCCTGTGGAAGACACAGTAGCTTGATAGTTTACGTATGGCGCTTCAAATGTGGCTCCTGCCATCTGCTGACGCTTTTAGGTGACTACAACAACATTTCGGCTGGCACATGAACAGACACACACGCCATGAAAGACGACCAGGGATAATTGGTGAGTACCAGCGTGTAGCGTGTACCAGGCATAATGCAAGTCCTGAGTCTGAAATATGTCTGTCAGTGAGTCCTACTCCACCTATTTAGACTCCACCGTAGACAACGGCAGCATTTCTTCGACCACGTAGCGAGCCACAAGCTCCGTGGCTTCTTTCAGACTGATAGGTTTAACGTTATCTCCGTTATTAGAACCAAACGACAGCCGTTGCTGTTTCGGAGCTTAAGGACCAGTGTTCTAAAAGTAATGGAAGTAACTGATGTCTTGTTTGAAAATGTACTTAAGTATTTGATTACTCAAACAGCAAACTAACGCGTTAGGTTACTCGTTACTGCAAAAAGTAATCAAAGTACTCTAACGCGTTACTTTGTAACGTTATACTCAACTCTGTTTTTCACTAAATTTGCTCAAGGGAGTTTTTCACCATGTAGAGTATGGTGCTCACTGCTGATGTTAGTGGTCTTGTTGACAATAAAACATTCCCATAATCATGGCTTGACAATAAATCCTATGCAATGTTTTTATTTGGGTTAGAGGCAGTAAGATCACAGATATAAACAACTCTCACAGCAGCTCACTGAGGAATAACAAATGTACAACTGATTAAAAAAAAAGACGTGTGTACACCGCTGTGTAACATCACCTTCTTTTAACACACTCAGTAAGCGTTTGGTAACTGAGGACATTAATTGTTTCTCGAGGTTCACAGGGTGGCTCCCCAGTATCTCCCAGATTTAAAGACAGTCTGTGTTTCAAAATGGGCCAAAATCCAATCTGAACTCTGCAAGACATTAGTTTCTTCAAAATGGAGAAATGCAGACAGGAAATCAATTAGTGTTTGACCTTCTCTTTCTGTTTCAGTCAGTGTGTGGTTGGGATTCACTGGACCACAGATGATTTGTCATTTGTTAAAATCTAAACTGGACATGTGAGGATTTTCCTTCTGGGCCTTGCTATTGTTGTCTGTTTTTAAGTCTTAGCATAGCATATCTGCACTGCCTTCTGTAGCACTTTGAGATTTCTCCTAAGACTCGGCTCTTTCTCCAGAGCCTCTTACAGGCTCTCTGCTCCTAAACCTCTGAAGTGGTAGGACGTAGGCAGGAGGACCTGCTATGCCCTTCCCCCATTTTCTCACCCCTGCATGCCCACAGCAGGAGCAGAACCGGACCAGAGAAGTTAGTGTGCCAAACACAAGGTTTGCAACTCACTTTCCAGCAACTAGGAGAACCAAGTTGAGTTATACCCCAACGTTTAACTATGCAAGGACATCGAGCAACCAGCCTCCTCTGATCTGCACCTTTAGAACAAGGACACAGCAAGGACTGCACCTGGTACCACAGTTCTTTCTAGCCTTCATCTGCATCAAACAAAAGCAGTAGTCCACAAAGCAACTCTTTCCTCCATGAATTGAAGGATTGGTGATGTAACAACTGGGCATAGCGTCACTGCAGTTGTACAGGCTAAGGAAGACTGTTTAACTTTGTCAGTTGTGATTTAATAATGTTTATTGAGTTACTGCTGTGATTGTGTGCAGTTAGGTTATTGGTTAGTTGATGTTAGTTTGCTAATGCTTTTCACAGAGTCTTGCATGCAACTAAACATCTTTTGTACTAACCCAGACCCTTTTGCAACACATACTGTCTCACATACACATACTCACTAACAAATTGGTTTTCAACATAGCTACCCTGAAAGGGACATATCAAAGTTCCCACTTCTTTTCCTTTGTCTTTGTCCTGACCACAGGATCAAGCAAACCTCCCTGATCTGAAGCCATCTTTGATTAGGCCATCTCGTAGTTCTCTGTTGTCAGCCATTTTATTTTGCAGGCCAGACGGCCCATTGTTTCAAACACCCACCTTTCGTCTCTCTCTCTCTCTCTGAGGCACACACACTCACACACACATATATACACCCATGCTTGTATAAAGTAAGTTAGGATTTGTGGGTTTTGTTGCTTTACTTTGTTTATGAATAAGTATATATTTGGAATCATACCTGTTGTCTGTGTAATACTGCACAAGAGTGAATGAATTGTCAAGAACTCCTTCAACCTTTACCATTAATACGGTAATTTTGGTTATGGTTATTGATTTAATTATTAATCAAAATTCCAACTTGGTATCATTAACTGGCTATCATTTTTCCCTTTTCAGAAATGGTGTCCCCCCTTTTCTTGTCTGTTTTGGAATTAGAGTTGTATTTTTATTTATTTTTAATTTAACCTTTATTTAACCGGAAAAAACTCTTGAGAGAGTGTCCTGGCCAAGGCAGGCAGCAACACATGTTACAGACAGACAACACAGAACAAAAATACAGAATAAAATGTACAGCTCTAAAACAAGCAGTAAAAAACACAAAATAAGATTACTACAACGAAAAGCCAAAAAGTATGTTAATATATGCTATAAGTGAACCACAAAAATGCCAAAAAGGGCATATACACATGATTACAAAGACCAGCTAAGATACACTGTGACACTGGCATATAGAAGATTGTGTACAAAACTTTAAGTCCTTCTGCAGAAGATTCCACACGCTTTCCAAACTCTGTGCATGCCCTCAGTAAAGACAATAAAAACATGTTCTGAAAATGGAAAGCAGAGCCATTTCACTTTTTTGTACACAAATAAGTAGGCAAAGAATAGCTTTTCTAAACAGGAGAATGCCAAGTTTGGGTTTCTTTCACCTATGTCTGGATTCACCTTTTAAACTACCTGCCTACTATCCAAAGAGACAACTGGAACACACCTGGTTTGTAAATTAAAATATTTAACTTTTCTTTTTTAAAACTAGGTTCTCAGTTATTAATCTACTATTGCTATTAATGTACAAATAAAGAATGAGGCTTGTTTTCTGCAAAAAAGACCAAAACTAACAATGTGTCTATAGTTCTCAGCTCCAAATCATGGGTGTAGTAGGAGAACTAGATACAGTGTTGAACACTGGGTCACCTTCATTCCGATGTTGCTCAGGGGCACATGGAGCTAAAATGGTTCGGCTGCTCCATATAAAATTACCTAGAAGATCTGGGGATCATGGGTACTACTACTACTTCTGCACTTTGCTGCCCATAGAGCAAGCATATTAGAGCCCAGCTGAGCTCTGCCTAGTGTGACTGAGCAGCTAACTTCCACTGGCCAAATGGCTAACTTTCAGTTTAGTGCACTGTGAACTTGAATGGGGATACAAAGATTTAATCTTATGGCTCTTTTAGACTTTCCAAATGTTATTATTATTTATGAAAAAGACGTGGCAGTAATGGAGTGTGAGACTGGAGTGTATGAGTGTCTGAGTTGTGGGATTTTCCATCACAGATAACTTGTGTTGTGTTTGGCTCATCTGTCTGGAGGAGACACACCTGGTTCTCATACTCAGTTGTGTGGGTTTAGGTGATCATGACCGATGGGGAAAACAAATGATCTCATACCTGTTGCAAAAGTAGATACTAGGAGAGTCAACACTATATCACATGCCTGTTTCAGAAAGCAGGTCTGACAAACTCTCAGTTTAACCCTGAACTCTAAGTTGACTAACCCTAAGATGGAAAACTTCAGTTTCAGAACAGCTGGTTCAATCAGCTCTTTGATACGGAGTGAATCAATAAGGAGATGAAACAACATGTCTGGCTGTGTCAGAGATAGGAGACAGAGACAAACTCTGGGTTTGTTGAAGAAAACCAGCCAGTTAACAGGTTAGGTTCACTCTCTCTGTCTGACTCTGAAAACCCACAGTTAACTTCATCTCAGGGTTAACTTCACTATACCCGCTTTCTGAAACAGGGCCCTAGTTATATATTAATATAAATATTACCACTTCTCTCTGAAATATAACTTTGTTCTCATGAAACAATGCCTCCTTTTCTCACAATTACAGCTTCAGTCTAGTGATTTAATGAATCACGTTTATTAAAGAATTTGTGTCAAAACAGCCACCTTATATTTTATAGTATCGTTA